AAAATCTGCAAAAAATCTTCCATTCGATATGGTAACAAGTCATTAAGGAAACATTTCCACCCTTTGTGCTAAACGTCCAACTAAGCCTTTTGGAGTTGCTTGTTCTTTGACGTGGGCAAGGCTCGGTATTCGGACCACAATCCAAGGTGTTGGGTGGTGGCTGCTATTTTTTGCTAAATTTTAATGTATTTAGATTCTCACGCATTTCAATAACATATAGGTGGGTGGAATTTAGATTATCTCAAAAAAAACTCTCAATAGATTAACTTTTCTGGAGATCAAAAAATTATGACTTTTGTAATAAATATGGTAATCTTGCGTATTCTCATTCTCACACCTTTAAAGTTACTGCATACCAAATGCCCTTCACTACCATCCACCTGGACGATCGATGTACTCATTCCAATAAACGTGGCCTCAATTGACCAAAATGATCATAAAGATCATTCCCTTCCGCCCAATGAGCCATCACTTGAGTTGATTTTCCTTTCGTCCACTAATAGTCTCCAAAATCACTAGGGTTGATTATCCAGCATTATTCCAATCGCACGTGTAATTGGTGAACTTGGATGGCCATGTTCCAATCGATCTTAATGGATCAATTAAAATCGATTGAGTCACACGGGGTAAACCTCACCTGGGATTCCCAAGTCCTTTTGATGACTCGTACTAGTTGAATTACCCTTATCAACTAGATTTCGATTAATCAAAACTAGTCAACTTTACAACTAAAGATTAAGGTGACGTTTGTTTTAAGGGTTCTGCTTGGTTTAAAATCATGGTTCTTGGTTCTGTTACAATGTCTTTCTCTCATAAAAAATTTGAATTTTTAAAATTAGAATCATGAACTATGATTTTGAACCCATGAACCGAACGTCACCTAAGATTGAAGAAGAAATTTGACCCAACAATAAACTACTTCCTATAGGCACCATCATTTAACTTGTACTTTTGGACTCACACTACAACAGAGTAGGCTTTCCGTAGCTGTTAGTTATAGCGTTTTTTTAAAAAATGTTACTTTGTCTATATATAATAGCGTTTAGAAATAGTTATAATATATATATATATTAAAATTTCATGACATTTTGACAGGTTTGTTTTATATATATTTAAAAATATATAAATATACACATTAAAATTACATTAGGCGGGCATTGGAAATAATTTTCCCAATTTTCCCGCTCGCTCCTCCCTCTTTTTTTTTGGGGTCTGATTTAGCTCTACTTCCCATATGCATTATACGAACAAGGAAAGAAAAAAAAAACTCATTCCCCCACTCTGTCGAAGACTCATTTGGCCCGCCAAGGGAAAGAACAAACCACACTCCATTCTGATCTCTTTCCCCAAAATTCCCTAAGTTTCCCTAAGTTTCCTTTGGATTTGCTCTGCTAGATTCTGAAATTGAAGGCCGGTGTTAGGTTCCCTCAACTTTCCAACTTTTCCCCAAATGACTTAATTTTCCAGTCCATCTCACGGGAAGAAATCCTCATGGGAAGAATCTCATGGGAAGAATCTCACGGTAAGAAATCATGTCTCTCTCTACGCGTCACTCGATTCCCCTAAATTCCTAACTTTTGGTTTCTTTTTTGTGAAGATTGGGTTGTGGAAAGAAGATCGAAGACGATCTCAACGTGAAGCTCTCTTCCTACGCGAAGCTCAGAGCTAGGTTTACCCAAGGAGGTTCGAATCTCTCTCTCTCTCTCTCTTTGTTCTCTAGGTTTACCCAAAGAGAAATCCTCTCTCTCTCTGCATTTTTGCTCCCAAAGGTGTAGAGCTCTTGAATTCGAAGGATGGTAGTTTTGGATATGAAAATTTGAACTTTGATAGTGAATATGTGAAAATCGGCCGGACTGACCTACCTCATTAAAGAGAGACAACTTTTGTGGTTGGAGGAGATTTGGGCTGACAGTTAGGAAATTTTGATGAGAAAACACTGATTTTTATTGATGAGAAAAGACTGATTTTTGTTGATGAGAAATGGCAAATTTTTGTTGTGCTTTGAAATTCCTTAGTTGTAGAAGGAAACCCACAATCTCTAGGTCTTAAAATTTTTGTTTTTAATTGATTTGCAATTGACAGCTTTGTTTTTGATAATTTTTTGTTGTTGACAAATTTGTAGAAGAATACCCACCTTGGTGATATCCTCAAAGACACCAACATATGTTCTTTTTGACCCTCTTAAGGATTTAGATTATTATGGTCTTTTTTGGTTTAGTCATAGAACATAGATCCTTTTAGATTTCACAAGTCTTGTTCCATTATTTGTTTACCAATGTTCTATAGAAAAATGAGAGTATTCTTTGGCATGGTGATGAAAAAGATATATGTATTAAGTGTGTTATCTTTTTTTGTTTGCTCTGTTATTATAATTATGTTAGACTAAATTTTATTTCTTAGTTACAAATGTGATAATTTATTTAGCATTATATTAATTATAAAGTCGATTGATGATGTTAGGATGCTTGATAAAGATTGGGTGCGTGATAACAGGTGAGCAAGATTGGAATTTAGTTTTTGTTTGTCTTAGTCATTGTAGTTATAGAAATCTTAGTGTTGACCTTTTTATTTATAGACTTACTGAGGAGTATATGCAAAGCGCTCAGAAATTCGTAAAAATTGTTGAAAAGAATTTTGGTTATCCGGAGAAGCTGTTGTGCCCTTGCAATGAATGTCGAAACTTAAGTCATCAAAGTGGTAACATTGTTTATGAACACTTGGTAATCAATGGTATGGATCCAACATACACTACTTGGTTTCATCATGGGGAAGAAGTAAACACAAATGAAGAGTTGGAAAACGTTGAGAGGAATGACATATATGAGTTATACAAGGCTGCCTATGCCAATGAGAATGATTATATAGAACAATCGTAAGAACATAGGTTAGAGGAGTTAAATGAAAAAATGAATGATTGGTTAGAACTATTATATCCTGGTTGTTCAAAATACAACAAGTTGTCTGCCATTATTGCCTTATTCAAGCATAAGACCATGAATGGATGGTCTGATTGTAGTTTTGACGGACTGCTAGAGTTATTGCATGACATGTTACCCGAACCTAATGTGTTGATAAGGTCGACGTATAAAGTATGAAAGTTTATGAGAGAATTTCATCTAGGGTATGAAAAGATTCATGCTTGCCCTAATGATTGTTGTTTGTTTAGAAAGGATAAGGCAGATCTTGATAAATGTCCAAAGTGTCATGCTTCAAGGTGGAAGGTTAACAAACATACCAAAAAAGCTAAAGTTGGTCTTTCTGCTAAAGTCTTGAGATATCTTCCGATAATTCCTAGGTTCAAGGCTATGTTCAAGAGTGAAAAGATGGCTCGAAATTTAAGGTGGCATTCCAATAATAAAAGAGATGATGGAAAGATGCATCACCCGGTCGACTCTCCATCATAGGAACCTATGAATGAGAAGTAGCCTACGTTTGCAAATGAACCACGCAATCTTAGACTTGGATTGTCCACAGATGGATTTAATCCGTTTGGTAATTTAAGCTCAACTTATAGCTGTTGGCCAGTGATGCTTGTGATATACAACTTGTCACCATTTTTGTGCATGAAAAAGGAAAACATCATGCTAACGTTGTTAATCCCAGGGTCTAAACAACCTGGCAATGATATTGACATTTACCTACAACCGCTCATAGAAGATTTGCAAGAGTTGTGGAACAATGGAGTCAATATTTTTGATTCACTTGACAATGAGGTTTTCAATTTAAGGGCAATTTTAATGTGGACAATAAATCATTTTCCAGCCTATGGAAATCTTAGTGGTTGCTATACAACAGGTAGATTAGCATGTCCTTTATGTGTTGATAATACTCGAGCAATGTGGTTGCCCTTTAGTAGGAAGTTTGTATTCATAGGTCATAGGAGATTTCTATCACCAAGTCATCCATTCCGAACGAAAAAGTGTTGGTTCGATGGAAAGGTAGAAAAAGGAAGTAAACCAAGAATAATGACCGGTAGAAGAATGTATGAACAACTAAAGGACTTTGTGAACGATTGGGGGAAAGTTAATAAGGATATTTTTGAGAATGAAGTTATGAAAGGGCACGGGAGAGGAGGTAAAGAAGTTGTTAAGAAAGTCCATCATAAACGCAAGAGAGTAGAGGTGAGGGATGTGGATATGGAGAAGCAACAACTACGGAAGAAAACATAACTTTTTTTTACCTACCTTATTGGCAGGTAATTACTACTTAACTAATAGCCTCCTTTTTTACTTTTGAAGTTAATTATTGACGGGTGGAATAATGTTTGATTTGTTTGAATTGATATTTTACAAGATTTGGCTTTGCGACACAACTTGGATGTGATGCACATAGAGAAAATGTGTACAAAAGCATTTTAAATACGTTGTTGCATGATCATGTCATGCTAAGGTGATGCTCTTGGTAAACTCGTGGAATGCAATTAATGTAAGTGGTTGAGTTGTGGTAATTATATAGATAAAGTGTGAGTGTAATTAATTATACAAAAAAGTGTGTGTATAATTACAAGTAAAATTTGTAATTTCGAATATGCTGCCTAACAATTATGTACTATCATAAGGTCATAATAGCCTATTTACTGGAGCTTGTAAAAAAAGTTAAGGGAGCTTTCACTAATCAAGAACTCAATTTCAAGTAAGAAAAATAAATTTTAGGTGCGTTTACTAACTATTGATTTGATCTTTAGTTTTTTAATTCAATATCTTATCTTTATCACTTACCCCTTAATATTTTAAATGGATAAAACACTAAGGTGGTAAACCAACTACGTACCATAGTTGATAATTTAAGATGATGCATGAAGTGTTGATGTTTATAATATATGTTAAGATTTGATAACAAAAGGAGGGTGAGAAATTTCTTTGTTGGTTTGTTTCTAGACTGAAAACATGTATATGTCAGCAAAGGTATACAGTTATTCCTGAGTCTACAATAAGAACCTGATTTGCATATATTTAACCTTAGGTGTTGAATGAATGAAGAAATAGGAGGGGAAAAAAGCTTCAGATTGCAAGTAAAACACCACTATTGAAACTAGAAGAATTCAACAGAATAGAGCATAACATATGCAAGAGACTGCCTTCGCCAATCTACAGTTGTGGAGAGAAAAAATATTTTCGCTTGACATACCTTGCACCTCTCAAGATTATTGTGCTTGTCCAACCCATTTCAACACCAGAAAAAGGGATCAACTTGTCTTCCCCAATCACAATCTCATCAATGAGCTTGCAATGATTGAGCTCAACTGATTCAGGATTGTCAAAGGTCCACACAATTTCAATCCCAGTTAACTCAGTGCCATTAAAACCAACATGCTCAATTGCAATTATGCCAACATATGGAAAGAGCTCCTCTATAAATTGTAGATTAACTTTTTGTTAACGAAATAGTTTATCCCATTAGCTATTATCTTCTTAAACTTTTCTCCTATCTTATCTTTCTGAACCCCTTCGGTTTCAACAACCGCTGACATTGAATCGACTCGAACATGTGGCGCCTACGGATATTCAATAGGAGAACACTTCTCACAAAACATCATGCAGATACTAAAGTGCTTACTAATTAAAGAGTATATGAAATTAAAATATGCCTAATTTTACCAAAAGAAAGGCATTAAACCAATAATATAAAAATCTTGTACGCATCTAGTGCAGCATGAAAATGGAACATAAGCAACAACAACAACAACAAAAAAAAAAAAAAAGTATTAGTTACCTTTCATCTAAAAAAAAGAATGCTTTACAGATCCTCCAAGCTTCTCTGTGACCTAAATAGCGTACCTCTCTACCATTATTGAGGCTATTGTTAAAAAAATTTGAAAATTGAACCTCAAGTGTTTTTTTTGTACAAATGAACACAATTACATGTAACATTGAACCGTTGCATTATGAAATTACAACTTTTACAAACACGAAGCACCACTTAGCTTCATTTGAAATTAGTTGTTTAACATACTTACTATATACACCATTATAAAATTTCAAGATGTCGATTAGTGAATTACCTTCAGCAGCATATCAGACACTTTTCTGACTTGAAGTACACGTGCTCTAATTATCTCATTCTTTTTTGAACAAATCAAGAGCCTTCCAAAACCTCCCACACTCTAGTCTTCACTTTAACTATTTGGACAGATGAAACAATCTTTTCCAAAATCTTTATCTTTGTCACAGCCCACCAAGACGACCATATGGAAGCCAACAAATACACATCCCACTACAAAGTGAAAAAGTCCTTTGCAATAACGATGTCAATAAAAATCGTTTGGTTATTTGCAATACGTAATTTTCATTTTTTTACATGCTCAAAGAATCCCTTGATGTTGTGAAACGACCGATAAGGAAGAATACATCCTAATTCTAAAATGCAATAAAAGTTGAAAAAAGAAACGTGGTTAAGAATTAGATTATTTTATTAAAAGTACTTGTGAGTATCGCAAACAAAGTAATTTTTACTTAATAAAAATAATTTTTGATACATCCAATAAAAACTTGTGAATATCCAATGGAAAGAATACATCCTCATTTTGCAATGCAATAAAAGTTGAAAAGGAAGTATGGTTAAGAGTTAGATTATTTTATTTAAACTTGCGAATATCGTAAACAAAACAATTTTTACCTAATAAAAACAATTTTTGATTTTTGATGGTGGACGAATACCACAATAAGGTTGTACTTCAACTTGCCGTATGCCATATTTCAAAGCATATATCACAGCGAGAAGTGGATAGTAGCTTTCTTGTATTTATGATAATAGTTTAAAGCATACAACACAGCGCGAGGTGGATATAGTAAACTTTTTTTGTTGTATAAACGATAAGCTCCTTTCTTTGTCTCAATAATAAAATAATGATTAATGATACCACGCGGAGAATATTCATTAATCTTTTCCCTCCCCTTTTTAAGAGCAGCTAATCTTTCATGAACTAAAATGCTCTAAATCATGGCCGCACAAGTTAACAACATGGGTCTGTAAATTTTCAAAAACAAAAAAGTAAGAAAAAAATATAAATACTTATTGTTATAACATATTTGGTTAGCTTAGCAAGGGAGGGTTTGAGACGTCCGTCTACCCAAAATCAAGATTAGACTTGAATTGACTTAATGAAAAATAGTTTTTAAAATAAGGTGTTGTGAGGAAAACGTCGCATTTTTGGATACAAACTGCCAACTAGCTGAGCCTCCGTTCAATCATTCTCCACTCTCTCACACGAGCTTCTGATTGAGTGAGACTAAGTCCGAGTGTCGGCAGTTTGTAGATGCCTTAAAACTCCGTGCAGATCTAGTCTTTCGAAGGTTCGTCTCCTCCTCCGATGATGATGATGGTCTCAGTGCAAAATCCAGATTTGCTATTTTGCTTCAATAAGGAATAGTTAGCCGTTCCGGTTGGGAAATTCTCCCAATAAGCTCCTTTGTCGACGCTTCCCGTTTCGATCGTTGCAAAGGACGTGTCAGCCAAATCAGACAACGAATAAAAGACTTTCTAATGTATATTAATTATATATATTGCCAATGCTCTATTGGTTGTGCTCAAATTAAAAAAAAAATGATAATAATAATAATAAGTCGTTAATCATGGTCATAAGAGTTAGAGGCATACCTCAACCTTTAGGTGTTGATGTTGCCACATTATATGGTTTTTTTGGTCTCGTTTATTTCACCGATTTGAGTTTTCAATTCCAGTTTTATTACAATTAAAAACTCATAAAAAGTCACATCTAATTTTTTCTGATACAGTTAAAAATTCTCACTCGCATCTCAACTCGAATTGAAAACTCGAATCAATGAACTGAACGAGACCTATAGTCACTCTTATTGGTGAAAAGAAGTCCTTCCCCGATAGCTATTGCCATAAGAGTTAAGGGAATTAAAAGAACCAACAACTTGCTTCGAGAAGTGACCGAGAACGTTTCCAGTAGAGTATTTTATCAATCCACCAGTCCCAATGCTCCATAAGTGATGCGTGCACACAACCTTAGAACTCCATTAGCCGGAGGCCGTAGCTTGCCAAGATTGAGCCCTTTTGTTTTCCAACAAACAATGCCCATCTATCTCCCAATAAATACACCGCGAAACTAAAAGGGAAGTCAAGTTTTGTTTTTGTTTTTTTAAAGGAAAAAAAAAAAAAAAAACACAACAACTATACTGGCCGACTTAACAGTAAGAAATTCAAAGTTTGAAAAGAGAAAATTCTGAATTTGAATCTGTAAAAGATAACTTATTCGAATTAATCCTTAAAAGAAATTTGAAATAGATGTATAATAATAGAAGGAATTTTTTTTTCTGATCCAATTAAAAAGGAGACTTGAAAAAGGAAATTTAAGTCTTCGTTCAGTTCGCGGATTTGAATTGAGATGTGATTTTATATGAAAGCTTTTCACTGTAACAGAAAAAGTTAGATAGGACTTTTTATGAGAATTTTTAATTGTAATAAAATTAAAATTAAAAACTCAAATTAGTAAAATGAACGATGAATAACTCTACATTACTTGAATTTGAACTAATTAATTGGAAAAAGAAAACATAAATAAATGTAAAGTTCTTCACTGGAGAGACCTAAAGAGAGTGTTATTACATTTTTAGAGTCTATTGGTACATTCCTATGAATATCTTCTAAAAGTAACAAGTTGGACGATTCTCATTTCTCAACACATGGTCTTTTCCGGAAAGAAAGAATTTTGTGGATTTGCGGGTTTTTGATAAGAAGCCTATCAATATCAAGTCAAAAGCTTGAACGTTAATATGTTTGATATATAGCTGAATAGGGCACACCATTTCTTTAAGGCACTGTTATAAAAGTAACTTTGCACTTTTGGTGGTCATGTCACATGTGTTGCGGTAATGATTTTGGTAGTCTTTTTTAATGCAATTAATATGAAGCAATTGAATTGCTGTAAAGATAAATATATATATATATATATATATCTGTATATATAGTTAGTTAGTTTGAGTGTACGAAAACAGTATTTTTGACTTTTGAATATGATACCAAACAATTACATAAATTTTTTATGAGAAGAGCCTAATTAGGAGAGGTTGTTAAAGAGAATGGTTATCAGGAGAACAACTGTTGGGAATTGGGTGTAAGTGTTTAATTCCAACAAGGATTGAACGTCATTTAGGAAAAAACAAAACAAATAAACAAACAAGCAAACTATATGATTTAACTTATGGGATTGTTCGTTTCGGAAATTAAATCACAACTCAAACGTTTTTATTACATATTTTCTCTCAAAAATTTCAAATGTAACTATTATGTGTTCTAAAGCCTAATTGCTTCCTACGTAAAATACGGGAGATTTGAAAAGTGGGTCTTGTTATTGCTGAACTCTAGTCATCTTGTGATGCAAAAGGGTCGGAAAGAAAATGAAAACACTAGTGTATGACTGCATGAGATACATAAAAAGAGAAATTAAAGCAGAAACACAGGAATCATTGCCATATCCACCACTTTTTTCTTTCTATCCTCACACCAAAAAAAAAAAATCCACCACTTTTATTTTTTTTGGTCAAAAAGTAAAAATTAACTACTTTCAGAAATTTGACCAAATTAAATATTGAAAAAACCGGTCATGCCCATATGCTGATGGAACCCCATTCACGCTTATGCACATGTTGATCAATATATCATATTTTGACTTTGGTGACTTTTCGGAGCCCCCATTTTGTAGGTATGGGTTAGCTTGCAATTTGGTGAGGCTGTACATGGTTGCCTATCTGCATTAACTACCATATAAAACTCTCAAAACTAGTAAAAAAATTTTAGTCTTTCCACTTTTTTATTTTTCATCTTATCACTTTTTTCTTTCTTCCCTTTTCAAGAGTGGTCAGCAGACTGGATTAAGTAAAGGAAAAGATCTGTTTCAAGATATATTATATAGTGCTACTTTGTTCTTTTTTGTAATTAATATCAACCTTAAACTATCTATTAATCCACTAAAAGTTAAATGTAAGATTACACGCTCCCTTTTCTTTGTTTCTAAAACAATGTACTTTAGTGGATGATACCTGGAAAAGAGGAAATGAAAGTGATATCTACTCTGCTGGTATTAATTAGTTGATATAGTTATGTTTATAGGATGTTATAATAAGTAGATATATAGTAAAAAGTGAAAGAAAATCAATCTTGCAGATTTTTAAGAAGGCTGGCTTTTCTTGCCCAATTTAGAGGAACAAGTTTAAATTATGAGACAAGACATATATAGAGGAAATCTAGAAATGGTCCTGCCAATAATTTAAAATTTTTGGAAGTCTGTATCGTTGCGGTTGATAGTGTAATTAATATTTGATTAATGCAAAAGTACGAAGTTTTCTTAGGATTCAAGGAAACCCCCATGAGATGACCGCATGTTGGAACTTTTGAAAATGTGAACCAAAAAGAAACCCAAATAGTACCCATAAAAGTTTAATTGTTTACAACCATATTGTTCAATCTAAAACGAAACATAATCTATGCATTACACTTTATCTATTCAATTTCCCAAACAAAATAGTAAAAATTTATAGCGTAATTAGCTCACTAATGTCCCCTCCATAGTTATAATTTTACTTAACTATATATACATGCACCAATGTATTAAGAAACCTCGTTCACTACCTGTCCAAAAAAGGCCAGCTAAGACTCAAACCGTGATAAACCTTTGTAATCAAAATGGCGGTGATCCACAAGGAAAAAAGAGAGACTAGCCAAAATTTTGGGAAACATTTGTCTGCCTGCCTGAGTTTTAGCTTACGCCATAGTAGATCAACACCCAACCTAACTTCATGAAGCTCAAAATGTGAACGAAAACGGCGCTAAATACCCATTACGCCACGTGTCCACTACAAACAAAGCATAAACCGCCAAGTGGAAAAAATTGACGTATGGACAAGGGCATTAGGCGACTTAGGTAACCTCTCTCTCACCTCCCACCCTTCTTCAACACTGAAAAATTAATACACAAAATTATACTAATTGTACTCACCCAAAGAAGAAAATAAAAATGAAAAAGAAAATGTATTAATTAGTATATATACACTTTTTATAAAAACCTCTTCAAAACCCAACCAACACAAGTGAGTTCAAAACAACACAAGAAGAGAGTTTGCTCTCTCTTTCTCCATCTCTCTTCTTTTTCTTCCAACATAAAACCAGATTTAAAGAGAGGCGCGTAATGCATGTTAGTAATAGTAGGGAAACTTATTACTCCATTAACCAAACACGCCCTTAACCTGACTTTCGTTACCATTTGAGCTTTCTTGGTAATAAGCCTTCATTCAAACGACAAGAAAACCAAGAAAAGGAAGGAAAAAAAAGTGTTGTACTAATCAAATGTCCCGCGTTGTCGCCGACAATTGCATATCGCTGGCGAGAGACACGTCACCCATTTTCCTCAACAGCATGGAGCTCAACCACCTCCACCCCTCGACCGCCGCCGCCGCCGATTCCCCGACCCTCGGGCAGCTACTGAAGCACGTAGGCGACGTACGGAAAGAGGCCACCGGCGACGGCAACGAGACTCCGGTCCACCAAGTCCTTGAGCTCGGCCACGTCAGTATGGAGCCACGGTCATTGCCCTTCGTACTCTCCTTCAGCAACCTCACTTACAGCGTCAAAATTCGCCGGAAACCGACATTATCTTCAGTTCTCCCTCATCGGCTTCTTCGCCAGAGAGGCTCTGATGATTCAGAGCCGGTCCCGGGGGAAAGCCTCTTCACTAGGACCAAGAATCTCCTCAACAACATCTCCGGCGAGGCCCGGGACGGGGAGATCCTCGCCGTTCTCGGCGCGAGCGGCTCGGGGAAATCGACTCTGATCGACGCCCTAGCGAACCGGATTGCGAAGGGAAGTTTGAAGGGAAAGGTGACGCTGAACGGCGAGGTTCTTGAGTCGAGGCTGTTGAAGGTTATTTCGGCTTACGTCATGCAGGACGACCTGTTGTTTCCTATGTTGACGGTGGAGGAGACGCTCATGTTCGCGGCGGAGTTCCGGCTTCCCCGGACGCTGTCGAGCTCGAAGAAGAAGGGGAGGGTTCAGGCGCTGATAGACCAATTGGGTCTCCGAAATGCCGCGAAGACGGTGATCGGTGATGAAGGTCACCGAGGAGTCTCCGGCGGAGAGAGGCGGCGCGTGTCAATCGGGATCGACATAATCCACGACCCGATACTCCTTTTCCTCGATGAACCGACTTCGGGGCTCGACTCAACGAGCGCATTCATGGTGGTGAAGGTTCTCCAGAGAATCGCCCAGAGCGGCAGCATTGTCATCATGTCCGTACACCAGCCGAGTTACCGGATTTTAGGGCTTCTCGACCGCTTGATCTTTCTCTCCCGTGGCCAGACCGTCTTCAGCGGCTCTCCGGTGAACCTCCCCCAATTCTTCGCTGAATTCGGGCACCCGATTCCAGAGAACGAGAACCGAACCGAGTTCGCCCTCGACCTCATCCGCGAGCTCGAAGGCTCCCCCGGCGGGACCCGGGCCCTGGTCGAGTTCAACAAGACATGGCAAAGCAAGAAAGTAAAGAGCACTTCCGACCGGCCGACTGACATTAACATCAATCAAGCTCTCTCTCTCAAAGAAGCAATCAGTGCAAGCATTTCGAGAGGAAAATTAGTCTCCGGCGCGAACAACTCCGTCGATCCAAGCCCTAATTCGATGGTCCCGACCTTCGCGAACCCGTTCTGGATCGAGATGGTGGTTTTGTCAAAACGATCGGTCACAAACTCCCGCCGAATGCCGGAACTATTCGGCATTCGGTTAGGTGCCGTGATGGTCACTGGCTTCATCCTCGCTACCATGTTCTGGAACCTGGACGACTCCCCGAAAGGCGTCCAGGAGCGCCTCGGCTTCTTCGCCTTCGCAATGTCGACGACATTCTACACCTGCGCCGACGCCCTCCCGGTGTTCCTCCAGGAGCGCTACATCTTCATGCGCGAAACCGCCCACAACGCCTACCGCCGATCCTCCTACGTCCTCTCCCACTCATTCGTCGCCCTGCCGCCGCTCGTGTTCCTCTCGCTCGGATTCTCCGCTGCCACCTTCTGGGCCGTGGGCCTCGACGGCGGATTCTCCGGCTTCCTCTTCTACTTCCTCATCATCTTCGCCTCCTTCTGGTCCGGAAGCTCCTTCGTGACGTTCCTCTCCGGCGTCGTCCCCCACGTCATGCTCGGATACACTATCGTCGTTGCAATCCTGGCCTATTTTCTCCTCTTCAGCGGGTTCTTCATAACCCGGGACCGAATCCCGTCCTACTGGATTTGGTTCCACTATCTCTCCCTCGTGAAGTACCCCTACGAGGCGGTTCTCCAGAATGAGTTCGAGAATCCATTGAAGTGCTTCGTCAGGGGGATTCAGATATTCGACAACACGCCGCTCGCGTCGGTGCCGTCGTCGATGAAGCTGAAATTGTTGGAGAATATGAGCCAAACTCTGGGAATGAGGATTACGAGGTCGACGTGCCTGACGACTGGGACGGATATACTGGCGCAGCAAGCGGTGACGGACCTAGACAAGTGGAGTTGCTTGTGGGTCACGGTGGCATGGGGCTTCTTGTTCCGGATTCTGTTTTACTTCTCGCTCTTGCTCGGAAGCAAGAACAAGCGGAGGTGAGGCGGCGGCGACGGCGGTGGCAGCCGGGGTGGTGTTTGGCGGGAGTTTTTTTTTTTTTGTTTGTAATTTTTTTTGTATTTCTTTAATAAATGATCTTCTTTTTAAGTTTGGTTTATATTTTTCGTTTCTTTTTTTTTTTTTTTTTTACTGTTGATGGAGTACTTGAGCTATATTCTACAATCTCCAGGTTTATAAAAGTGTTACATATCAAGTTAGTAAATTATCGTTCATTTCATTGAGATAGATCTTCTCCTGTTGTAGATTAAATAGTACTAGATTATCCACGATACTAATTAAAAGCGCATTCTTTTTACAAGTGCTTTATAATCTAGAAGGTATAGATTTTCTACATCTAGATTAATAAATCCAAGAATTGATTTATTTTTTTCATGCACGTAGTATTAGGAGGCTAGCTGATCATCACGTGCGATGTGTGATTTTGAGAACAATAATACATCAAGAAAGTAAAACATGTATAAGTATTAATTAGTGTAACTACTTTTATAAAGAATTTTTTTAAATAAAAAAAAAGATTAGCGTCTAATTGGGGATTTGACATGTAATGTATACCTGTGTATGCTTATATAAACAGCCGTATATAATGTCCATACCCGAGCCACTTATGACTTAGTGGGCCCATTCAAATTGAGAGAAAGAGAGAAATATACCAAAACTTAAAATAAATTAAAATTAATAGGCCAATAGTTTACATAAGATAATAAATAGACCAAATTATTGTTTTTGTCTATAACTTGTCTGGTTATAAATCATAACTTGACAAGTTATTATCCATAATTCACGGTTTTTGTCCATAACTTATCTGGCTATGAACCATAACTTGACAAGTTTATCCATAATTTATCTGATTATGAACTATAACTTGACAAGTTATGACCTATTAATTTCTATAACTAAAAATTGGCCTATATACTTTCTTAAGTTTTTCATATTTGTCTATTTTCTACTATTTCTGTTCTTTTTTTTTCTTTTTGTTCTTTATTTTCAAAAATATGTACTTATTATTGAATATACATAAAGCCCCCACTCAAAATATTAAGTTAATCTTATACTTCAGTAAACTTTTATCAAGTTATTAGTCCATATTTATATAAATTTCTGACACCTGTCACTAATTTTAATGTCAACTTTTAATAGTATTTGGTATAGATATTGATTACTATGTACTGTATGAACAGCAAATTCAGCTAAAATTTTTAAGAGCACGTAGAGGTTTCACTGTCATGCATATTAATTGATATTTTGCTAGTTTACTTTCAATTATTTATGTGGCGTATCCTACAACCCATACTAATATCTTGACAGCCGGCACTTTCGTAAGAGCAAAATCAATTGTCTCACGAAACGTAATTGGGACAGAATTATAGCGTGTCAATGTTACAATATACCTATGTTTTGACTTGTGAATATCATCGCCCTCCCATTTCAATTTTTTTTTTTTTTTTTTTTTTTTTTTTGCTTATAATTTATTTTCCTTATCTGGTTTTTTAAAGAACACTAATGTTGTTGGATGATATTATAATAATATGGCAACCTTATTGCATAAAAAGGATTAAAAACAACACCCTACTTAGTTACTAGATAGGTAAAATGTAGTAGTGCAAGTTAAACAGACGACGGTAAAAACAGAATTAATATAAAAACCATAAGTATCCAATATAAGAACAGTGTAACACATGCGGATATTTAACTTTTGAGACGTCATCTTGCTTTTTTAGTATTACTAAAATAAAAAATTTGTTTTAATATTGGAAGTTAAGTTAATTGTTTCCCATCGGGTAATAATAGTCATGTTATTTATTTGAGTGCCAAATTCTTAGTTGTTAAGGGATCAAACGTTTCTTGGTAAGTTGTGGAGCTAATTAATTATTTTTCTGTCTAGATATTTAATTTTTGAGACGTCATCTTGCTTTTTTAGTATTACTAAAATGAAAAATTTGTTTTATTGGAAGTTAAGTCAATTGCTTCCCATCGGGTAAGAATTGTCATGTTATTTATTTGAGTGCCAAATTCTTAGTTGTTAAGGGATCAGACGCTTCTTGGTAAGTTTTGGAGCTAATTAATTATTATGTTGATGATCATTCTGTTATATAAAGACAATAAGCGGATTGATTTAGAGGGTATTTTTCGCCTAACATAAAATTGATAGATATGTAATTTTCTCTTATAACTTTTTATTCGTAATAGTAAATTTCTACCTTAAAAGAAAATAGTAAATTTATGTGACGATTAGAAGTGAATGTAGCTCTCATATTAAGTGTGAACCCTATAAATTTTGCGTTTTTATTTTTACTTTTGTTTATGTGATTTTATTGTAGCAGATGGTATAGAAGTGGAGCGTCTAATTCATAGGGTATATTTATTGTTTAGTAGTAATTCTTGAAGCCCAAAATCAATTTTCTAGCCATTTACAGTTAAAATTTGTGTTTGGTAAAAATCATAAAAAGTGATTCTTAAAGAATTTTTAAAGAATTTACAATCAAAATCAGAAGCAGTCCAAAGGCAACTTTAACTTTTAGATTGTGCGGCAATCACCTTAAAGTACAATTATTAAAACTTTCATAATACTCATAATACCCTTAGAAATAATACTTGTATAATTATAGTTTGCCAAAAACTTAATTTTTTTTGTAACAACTGTTTTTTTAGCATAGCTAACAGCAATTTTTTTAAAATCTACAGCACTACCAAACTGGTCATAACATTTCTCACTGTAGAAAGCAGTTGTCATGCGAATTATGATATACCTTGCAGGTGTTCTCGAGACATTTCGGCAAATTGCATGAAATTTAGGATTTAGAATATATAAGACCCATTTAGTTCGCTGATTCGAGTTGATATGTGACTTTATGTGAGAGATTTTTACTGTAATAAAAAAGTTAAATGTGACTATTTATGAGAATTTTTTACTGTAATAAAATTTGAATTCTAAACTTGAGTCGGTAAAATGAACTGGGTCATAGTATATCTATAATCATCTTTCTTTTATTAGTGATATTAAACTAAGATTAAGGTGGTTAATCATGCGAGTGACCTGGGTCACTTCTGGTCACAACCATGATGTAAAATATTATCAATTTTTAAAGCTCTGACAAGGTTAGAGAAATGGCAGATAGTAATCATGCAATGAGGCATGAAACTGTTTGGTGAAGCTGCAGATACAAATTAAAACCATATCCTATGTATTAATTTCCTCTTTTTTTTCTGTGAATTTCACAAATATTGAAGTCCTATATTGCAGTGGCAATAACATTCACATTGACGAGTGAACGACATTGGAATTGCAGTTTACTTAATTTAATTTAATTAGGTAGCCCAACCTCACCTAATAAATCAACTGAATTCGAAATTAAATCTTTTATTCCAGTAACCAATTATCAAAGAGAAAAATACATAATTTGTTATCTTTTTGTACATGTCTATTATTTATGTATTTTAAATAATTGAGTGTTATTATTATTTTTTATTTTCTCTTTATTAATTAAAATGTGACAATTATTTATTTTTAAATGAAACGACATAAATAGTACTTTTTACCATCTTAAGTGATATTTATAATTTCTTTCCAAGATTAAAAATTAAGTGGTTGTTCTATTAAAAATTTCAAAAAGAAAAGAGGTAGTGATGGTGGGCAGATGTGCAAAACTATTTTTAAATCAAATCAAAAAAATAAAAAGATAAAATCCAACGTTTACCGCTGGTCAATTTTTTTAGTTAATTTTAAATCTAACGTCAAAAAAGAAGAGTTGTCTCTTTCTGTCCATTACAACTCAAAATAATATAAAATTCTCTTAAAATTTATCATAAATTGCAATTTTAATATGCATGTTACTGTGACTAAAATAATTGGAAAAAGAATGTCATTTGCTAACTAGTTACGTGACTCACACAAGCATGATCAAAACCGTTAAAAAATTAATACTCCAAGAACACAGGAGTATTGAAATTGCAATATATCATAAGTTTACGAGGAATTTTATATTTTTTATGAGTTTAGGGATAAAATAAGAGAACTCATTTCCTTCTAGTATTAACCATTTCTCTTTGAAAAAAAATAAATAAATATTTTTTAGAGTGTATAAATCTAAATTTTTACTTATTATTTTTATTTAATATTTTTTAATTAAATAATTATATTAATTAAAATAATATTAATGGAGAGTCAGAAATAAAAAAGCGGACTCACCCCAGTAAATTCAACAATTTTTTCCTTAACTTTTAAAGCCGAAAATAATGCCCGAAAAAAAAAATCTCGAGGCGAGAAATCAGAAACGTTGACCCAACTCTTTCTGACACACACGAGGAAATATAAAAAAAAAAAAAAAAAAAAAAAAAAAAAAAAAAAGGACAAACTTTTGGGGACAAAAGAGCTCCTTATCCAAAAGAAAACCAGTAATACTGCTTCTTCAGCCATTAGCTAGCTAAAGATTCTTCTTCAATGGCGACAATACCACCCTCCTCTCTCCAGCTCCCAAACCCATTCCCACTCTCATCCACCGCACCCAAATTCCACGCGCCGCCCAAACCCTTCCTCTCCTTCACCACCACCACCACCAGAGCCACCGATCCAGACTCCTCCGAGCCCTCCGGGTCCGAATCCACCGACGCCTTCGAGGAACGCCTCAACCAGGTCCGGATCCGCTACCGCTCCGGCACCGGCAAGAAGGCGGAGCTCCGAAAGACCCGCAAGAAAGGCGGCTCCTCCTCCTCTGGTTCGTCCGGTTCGGTTTTCCTGCCTCCGGTTCCGCTGAAGGAGCCGGTCTCGGGAGGCCTGAAAGTCGACTTCGGATTCGGCCCGTACAGCGAGCGGGTTAACGGGTGGGTCGCGATTGTGGGGCTTTCGGCGCTGATTTCGGTGGATAGAGCGTGATAAACTACCACACGCCGGCGATCGTTTTCATTCAGGTGTATTTTGTGGCGGCCGTGACGGCGTTGTACGTGAAATATGAGAAGGAGAAGGTCAGTGTTTGGCCTCAGTCTTCACCCAAAGAATGACGTCAAGTTATTTTTGTTGGTAATTTTCTTTTCTTTTAAAAAAAAATTTATATTGGGATAATTGGGTTTTTTTTTCGTTCACAACTGTATCTTCAAGCGTTTGATATTTGATGTCTTGGATTTTGATTTTTTTACCCTTTTTATTTTACATATTCGAGTTAAAATTTAATTTTTATTATAATAAAAAAATTTTACAAATAATCACATTAAATTTTTTTATTACATAAAATTAAATTTAAATTTAAATTAAAATTTTAAATAAACTGAACTAAATGACTCAACAGAAAAGAAATGATAAATAGAGGATAAAGTTTCCTGCTTTTTTGGAGTTGATCAGTGAGCCGTTCAAGGAGTTCAAGTTTGGCATGAACAAAAATATTTGTGAAAAGTGAAATGTACATTTGTATTTTCCTTTTATAAGCTGGGAAGAATTTCTTCATAACGAAATGTTTAAATGTTTAGTTTCCTGACATGATTGGTGGAAATGATTAGTTGCAATCTCAGCCATTATTATTGCTTCATTTTCCCTCTTTTAATTTTTAAATCTTTTTATTTTTTCTCCCTCTCATTTGTGTATAGCTAAAAAAGGCACGGCCAGCGTGAGGTTCAGTTTAAATTAAAAACTTAAATTAAAAAATAAATTCATATGAAAAAAAATATTGTGATAAAAAAATTTAAATTTAAATTTTTATTAAAAAAAATATTATAACAAAAACTTGAATTATAGTTTAAACTAACAAAATAAATTCTCAGAGCATCTCTAAAGGAACCTTTAAATTTTTAGCTGAATTTTAACTAAAATAGCAAGAAAATTATTTTAGTTAGCAATTTTTGAGTGAGGCACTTTAATTATACTATATATTTTAATTAAACATAAATTATTTTAATATTATTGAATTAAAATATAAATAATTTTATTGAATTTTAAAAAAAAATCCTTGACATTCTCTAAAATAACTAATCATTTGACTAATGGTTGGAGTGGAGAAGTGTTAATGAGATCCAATCAACTGATCAAACCGACCAGTCCAATCCAATTCAATCTATTTTTAGTGGATAACTGAACTTAGTTGGATTATATTGGATGTGAGTTCTTAAAAACTGATTTGGATTAGATTTGATGTTAATTTTACTTTAGGAGAATGTAGTAAGTAGCATATTTATGAATCTAAATTATGTAAATAGCATATTTTAAAACTATTTGAAGTAAATAACAGCTTACCACGTAAATGTTTCATTTACGACTAGTAAAAATATTTTTTTCCAAGTAATTTTCTTTTTTATGATTGCTAAAAAGATTTTTTTCACGTTAATAAAGATTTTTTTACCACGTGAATTATTTTTTACTAGTCGTAAATAATATATTTATGCAGTAAACTACTTACTTTGAAATATGTTATTTACTATAATTTTTGTTTTACTTGTAAGACACTCAATCCAAACCGATATAATCTCTATATATTATACATAAATAAATTTATATTATTGATCAAAATTTTAAATTCTATTTTTTTAGACTTTTTGTTGTTATGGTTTTTATTATTCTTTTTTGTTGAACTTTTTATGTTTATTAGTTTGTAACTTTATTTTTATTTTTTTTAAGTTATTTGTTAGATGTTTAATCAACTTTGAAGTAATTTGGAGTTTATAAGCTTTTTGAATTTATATATGTAAATTCTTGCTTCATTTTTTCAACTATAGTATTTAAATTGTCAAAATGATCTAACAAATAGGTTGAAGAGGAAAATACAAAATGAAAAAAAAAAAATGTACAAAAGGCTCAAGCAACCGATTGGTTCAATCCAATGTCAACCGACCTTAATTAAATTAAATTGGATGATACATTAATAATTTAATTGAATTAGATGTAATTTTTAAAACCGAATCATTGATTGGATAAGTTGTTATATAAACAATAAAGATTGGATTAACAACTATTTTGGTTAAAGATATGAAATAACTAACATGTTGAAGATGCACTCAAACTGATCTCTAAGAAATACGGAACTCAACTAGCCGCTTTCAGGTTGAACTAAAAAAAATCCCACCAAGATTTTGTGCAATGCTATTACATCATAAAACATGCCCCATCAGTTCTACTCAATATTCAAGGGACATTGCAGATTGATTTTCAAAAGAATAAATTATAATTCAAGCGATATGTCTGTTCACTCGTAAATTCAGAATCCAGAAGAAAAAAAAAAAAAAAAAAAAAAAAATGATGAAGTCAGAGAAAACAAAAGGACGAGAAAAATTCATGCTTAAATTGGTTGACCTAAAAGCTTCGGAAATTACAGTCTAACCAAACAACCCTCACAAAGGCAAACCCCGCAAAGTCACTGTAATATTATAAATTACGTCCAAACACTACAGATGCTAAGGCGTCGTGTTGTCTTGAACTACAAGCTCAAAACTTTTTAAGCATTGATTAATCTTATCTTAAGATACAAAAAGATCAATAATTCTTTTTTTCACCTTCCTCCAGTATATTTACCATTCTGTCCGGAAGCAGAAAAGAATGAATTAATGTTTTTATGGGGGAAAAAAAAATACACATCTATGGAATACTACATTGCTAAAAAATTCCTCCTGAATCCCCATTTTGTGGGGGCAAGCATATTGCAATTCCTACATCTTTGACTATCTCTCTATCTAGTTGTTACAGGCAGCTTCCACAGATCCTAGCTTTGTCCGAATGCGCAATCGTTCTCAAAAACGATCTGCTCTTTCCTTTGTTGCATGCCAGATTAAGGAGGGCAAGCATTATTTTCCATCATATTCCTGTCAAACATCTCAAATACAATTGGATACAGTCAAATTAGTTATGATGATGTTCGCGTTAGAAAATCATTAACCGCAAGACTGGCGTCTCCATGGGCCACGGCATCTTCCGGCTCCGGCATGTAAAGACTGGAAGATGTTGACTGCACATCAAGTAATACCCATTTTAGTTGCAGAAAATAAATACCAAATCACTAGGCAAGAGACCGACAAACCAACACTTTTCGTACATTCTAATGACATTTCAATTAAACATGTTATATAGATGTAGGGTAGGGGTGGATGTCTCTACCCAATTAAGAGCCCAAGACCTCTATCCAAATACACAGATATGTCTAATCTAATCTAACATAAAAGAGATAAAGCTCTTTTCTATGGCAGCCCCTCCTCTTACCTCTTTTTTTTCTTTTTTACTTTTTTTTATTTTATTTTTATTTTTAAAAACTTTCCTTTTCTTTTTTTTTTGGTGAATGTTTTTTTACATTTTACTTTTTTGTGTGTTTTGAAAATATATTATTCTCACTTTACTCCTATGAAAATAATTTTTCCCATGTATTCCCATTTTATTTTTTTATCAATGGTTACCTAAATTTTCTTCAAATGTGTTCTTACTAAATTGTTTTTTGTGTAATTCCTATCATATTAAACGCTGCCTTTCCACATTTCTTTTTTAAAATAAATTCTGAAATCCTTAAATGGTTGTATAAGAGAATGGTTGTATAAATGAATTTCTCGTTATTCGGTAAATAATACTCTTCAAGTATCTCCAATACAATAACACATGCGTGGCACATTAGAAAACTAGCGTGTGTGTGTGTGTGTGGAAGTCGAAGAAGGTGAAGTCAAAGATACCTTCGTATCAAGCTGCATCTCTCCATTGTTATCTGCAACAAGACATGCGCCATGTGCCTTCAACCATTCAATACATTCCTCTAAACCATCAGATTCTTTCTCATCACTTCCCTCATTTGCAACGCTAGTGAAGCCCAGAACTTGAGCAACGTATGAAACAGGTAGCGTAGGTCGATATGACCGAGACATGCAACTCACGGCCTTAAAACGCATCTTTTCAACATAAAGGTCTGCAAAGAATTGCAAAGACGTATTGAATCTGGGTTTCTTCAATACTTCTAAATCAAATGGAAATAATTGCTAATAAAGATACTCACCCATAAGGTAGGTGTTCAAGTTAGGAGCAGTCTTGTAAAGTCTAAAAAACATGACATAATTTCCCGATGTGACAGCTCCACGAACCGCAAGAGCATGCTGAACAGCTTCATCCTTTTTTGCTTCATTTGATAATCTGAACTCGCCAGAACACATTTCAGAACAAATTTCAGATGACATTCAAAGAAGTTTGTGAACAGAGAAGAAAAACATCAGTTGGAACACAGCAAATAAGATTACATTTAGATGCAATTTCTACAGTATACACAACGTAAAGTACATATTCGCCATGATAGAAAGCACAGGTAAGTTTGCAAAATTCACTTAAAAAGGCAAATTCATCTTTCTTAACCATAACTGACCTCGACATTGACGATACAAGATCTCTGTTATTATTAGAATGCATAATTACACAAAGTAGGTTGTATGCAGCAAACTCCATGTGGCACCCCTCAATTCCTTCAGCATAAAGGGATTTCAGCTGAGATTGGCACTGAAATAGTTTAAAATAGTTAATTGTACGTTTAATTACCAGAATATATAGATCGCATACACATGTACATAAAAAACTACTATATTTTTAATTTATAAGGATATAGTCAACTCTACGTCTAATGTATAAAGATAAATCAAACAAGAACCAGAAAGAAACACATAAATGAGATTTTAAAAAGAAGGCAATGAGTAATATAGTCTACAAAATTTCACATCTTATCAAAAAAGATGCTTGCAATTTTTCCTCTTTTTTTATTAAAAAAGCATTACCATTTTATGGACAACATAAAAATATGAAGTTGAGAAGGTTAATACGTACTTAAAAAAAACTTTTTATCCCGAAAAAATCGTTGCAATTTCTCCTTTATTAGCACGTCAACAGTAATATCATAATAAATATTTACACACAGACAAACTCAAAAGGAGTATTACCGCATACGTTGGTTTGGAAATATGTAATAAGTTCAATAAAAGCAGATAAACATCATCTCAAAATATGCTCAAAAAACCAACCTGATTATACTCGGGTAGATCCCCGACTTCAAGAGATAACCGAGCATGAGTTTCATATACCTGTAACATGTGTGAAAAATAAACATGATGTTAAAGTCCTGCATTTGCATATGAAGATCAATACTTCATGTTGCGGTACCTTTCTCAACTAATATGGAAACAGAACCATATCAATATCATAATAAAATGTCGTTTGAAGCGTTCAACATTTTTAAACAAACTAACAATCTATACATCAGTAATACAATGCATATTAAACAATTTAATTGCGCTTCAGGCATATACATGTACCTAAGTTTCAACCTTTTAATAAAAATCATTTTCCTTAAATCAAGACCAACTTATGACAGCTGAAAAAAGACTTTGATACTATAATGAATCCTAAATAATGAATTGATCACAATTAAATCCTAAATATGAATCGATTGCACTAATGCTAAAAAATAATATTCTCAGCTTAACTAAACAATATTTTAACTCCAAGAACTAAAAAAGTGCATGTGTGTTCAGAAAATTAACTACATTCATATAAGGAGTAAATTGCACTGTTGCCCCCCAAACTATTCATTTTTTATGTAATGGACCCTGGACTTTTACTTTTGACAAAATGCACCATATGCTTTAAAATCAGTAGCAATTGAGGTCCAATTGCTAATGAACATTATCAAATTTATGGTTTAAGACACGAGAATCGCACATGAAAGGGAAAGATCGTCACATTTCAAACCATGTCATGTGCAAATCTCGTGTCTCGAACTATCAATTTGATAAAAAGCATCAGCTCTTGGACTTCAATAGCAAGTGATTTTAGAGCTCAGCATGCATTTTGCCAAAATTAGTTTGGGATGCAGTGCAATTTACATTTTATATAAAGGATGCATAAATACACCAACAGTTGTAAACTACATTAATACAGAGGTTTAAAAATAAACTGACAGACATTATACAAGAGCAAAAAGGTTTCGAGATAAACCTTTACTGTTAGATGATTGCGAATTCTTTGTACGGTTAAATCTTGACGAATAGACTTCAACTGATCACACTTATAAAGGTAATTCTTTTGAGAATTTTGGACCATGAGAAGCGCTTTTTCTAGTACTTCTTCAGGTCTTACCTGTCAGCATAGAAGGGATTATAAGTATAACGCATGAAAAATTAACCCTTCTTGGATGCAACAAAGCCTTAGCTAAAATGACAAAAACAAGATAATGATGATTACTGTAGCCGGATCAGGTGCAGAAGTAAGCCGTAAATAACGCTTCTCAATTTCCTGGCATGTCCCCTTAACAGTAAGAGCATCCCAATCAATGTCCTCCACAGCCTTGCTGCCACCATCTTCAAAATTCTTGCTCAGCACCATGGCAGTCGCCCTTCTAGAATATAAGTTTCCAGATCCGACACTTTTCGATTTAAGGTGATTGGTTTCTGATCCATGTCGTTGTCCATTTTCAAAACGTTTGGAGCGACTTTCACGTCTCTTTCTTTCCTCTGGTGAATTTTCAAGTGCCATTGCACCTGCATAATATGCTGTTAAACTTTGTTCCTTGTCACTATCACTAGATGTGTCACCATTGTTAGCAGCAACAAAACTATCCATGAGGCACTGCCTTTTAGCTGGCTTCTGGGTGAACTTGTTTGCACCCTTTTGTTCCAGAGAAGAATATCTTGTCCCAGTCATATTCTCACCCTTGCTCCCACTATTCATCATTAATGTCTGCGTGCAAATTGGTTTAAAAAAACAAATATATGAACTGAAAACAAATGTACGTCTCAACTGCAATAATTATGCATATGAATGGCGAGGTATATTTCACAATGAAATTTAAATTAATTTAGAGCATCCACAATTTAATAAGACTGCAACAAACATTTTTTATATGCATTCATCCTTCGAATTCATGCTTTAAGGAACCTTGACCATATAACTCAAAATAAACATGTTTCAGGCAAAATAATTAGGAGAAAGGCGGATGAAAAATGCAAGTAAAATTTTAAACGCACCCCCAAAAGCAATCTCAAACCCAAAAAATAGCTTCTTCTTTTTTTTTTTTGGGCTTTCTATTAAGTACCTAAACAGCTTATAAATGATTAGCCTCTTCTCATATAGTATAGAGCCCACTGGGCCTAAAGGTTCTAGGTTCCTTGTTTCTAATACAAGTAATTTAAAAGTGAACGTTGATAAGTCTCATAACCCCACCACCATTGCCTTTTTGTTCGTAAAAGAGCCCTGAACAAAAAAGTAAATAATAGACATACCTTTCTGTCTCTTTCATTGACCCAACCAGCATAATTGGAAGTACCATGATTGATGGATGCTGGCTTTTCAACTGGTTTCTCCTCCGGAAGAGGCTCCCACCTACTTTTGGTTCGTCGGCTTGGACTTCTCTTTAACTTTGTTGATGAGGAAATAGGTGTTAAACTCTGTGCACTGGTGCAAAATGAAATATACACGTGGATCAGTCTAAAGCACACTGGATTCTGAAACTAAACCACAAACCTCACTCCACTGAATGATGCAACTAGACCCAACAAAAAATTTCGAACACCAGCCCATTAAGTACACATGAATCAAGAATACAAGTCTTAAGAAACCAAACTAAAAAGAAAAAGTCGTTACAATTCCCAAATCCTCGAGTACAATAAGAGTAAAACCAGAGAAAGTACGTAGAGAGAGAGAGAGAGAGAGGGGTACTCTTGCTTGACGACATCTGCATTTAAATAAGAGTAAAACCAGAGAAAGTACGTATAGAGAGAGAGAGAGAGGTACTCTTGCTTGACGACATCTGCATTTGGCAGTGAAAAAAGCGGCTCAACATCCCAGTCACGGGTGTAAAGTGTACCATCAGCAGTAGCCTTGGTGATCATCTGAAAGATAGGGAAATGCGTTTATATATTAGTAGCAGCATATTCATAAGTTTATATTAACTAGGTACACAAGTATATATCATAAATAAGCATATGGTATCCGGTATATGTATTTGCCTATCCGCTATATCTATTTGCCTAGAGTATTATTCAGTTTTTTTTTTCCCTGAGGGAGAATATTATTCAGGTTTAGGCAACCCAAAAGGTTGGAATTCCTCATTCAAAAAAAAAAAAGGATACAAGAGTTGGATTTTCCAACACAAGAATTCTACTAGAGTTTTGTTTTTATTGTCTTTATTTCCAAGAGTCATTATCCATTGAAGTTTCCAAGATTATTATCCTTTTATTTGCCAAGTCAACATTCTTTTAGTAAAATACTTCCCCAAAGTCATTATTGTTCCAAGAGTATAAAAGTTATACCATAATTTTCAAAATCATACTCCATTTAGGTTTATCATGACAAATCAGATGTATTTAAGATGGTAAGTGCAATAAGTCTAATAGAGAGTCTTTAATTTAACATAGTAATAAACATGCATGAGTCAGCAGTAGCATTGTGTAACAGCTAAGCGATGTTGCATCTAACCTATGAAGCTCACCTCCTTCATGACAGCCTGACAAGCTGCCATTTGTGTATCATCCTTACAACGAGCCAAAGCCCTCTCAACATAACCACGTAGTGACTTGGGGAACATACCAGGCTGCAATGCAGGCGACTAAGACATTAACCACTAATGAAACCATTAGAGCATTAACTACTTTTTCTCATAAGATTCATAAAAAGAAGAACTAATTTTCAAAAGACAAAAAATGGCAATGTTGGAATTTTAAAGTGAAAAAGTGGACACATTAACCAATAAGCAGAGAAATGCTAAACTTTAGCATATGCTATACTGCATGATAAAATTTGGCACCAAGTATAGCATATGCTAAATTTGACATTTAAAACATAACATTGCACTAAAGCACAGTTTCCCTACCTAAATGCTAAATTTTAGCATCTACATAGGTATTTGAGCAGCCAGTCAAATGTCTATGGGATAATCAAATAATATTTCAAATCAATACAAAAGCCTAATAACAAATCCAAAGGAAACCTCAAAAATGAGGTTGGGTGCATGTTAGTTGATAACAAAATAGAAACAGGCAACAAAGCAGATATATCACAACAGATACCGTCACTTAGGTGATTAAATGGCTGACTTGACAAAGATTAATTAATTTGGCAAAAAGACTCAAAGTAAAAGATAATAAATTAAATGGATGATTTTAGAGAGAGAACCTTCAATTAATACCAGAACGGCAGAAAGATAAACATTTTCATTAATACCAAAAAGGCAGAATTCATATCGATGAAGAACAACCTAAATGTTAGGTAAATCATCTTCAACTGGTCACAACTTAATTTGTTTATGTGCTTGCATAGCCCCATTCCATCCATTCTATGTACAGTGTACTTTTATTTTGCAGATTAAGAAAAATTTCCAAATAAAGAAAAGCAAGCATACTTATAGCAGAAATTAGAAACCACGAACAACAGATCCTAAGTAGCACAAGGATAGCAAGGACAGGCAGATAATAAAAAGCATTTTCACAAGCCTCAAATTCGCAGCATCTTGGAGGCCTTTGAATGAAAATGCAAGCGACAATCATGGAGATTATAATATATAAGTGTCATCATTAGAGCAGAAGATATATGCCGTAATAAAGTCCAAAATCCACTGGATTTTATTATTTTCTACAGCACCTAAAGAATCATATCAGAACTCTCACCTTTAGTAAAGAATCTGCACCAGCACTGGATGGGACTTTTTCATTTGGTTTTGGTAGTGATACACTGATATAAGCAGGTTTAGCTACTGCAGCAGTTGTTGTAGAGCTGTCCTTATCGGTTTTTGGTAAACCGAAGGTCAAATTTGAAGCAATTCTTGGATTTGTAGGAATCTGCAGTTTGCTTCCCCTTTGTGTTTCAAAAGATTGGACACTTCGTGGAGATGGCTGATAAGTTGGGGGCGCTGGGGGAGCCTGATAAGTAGCAGGATAATGCAAATTTGGTCCCTGAGGACATGAAGGCACCGGAGGTGGTACCTGATGAGTAGCAGGATACTGCAAATTGGGTCCCTGGGGAATTGAGGAGTTCTGTTGATCCTGAAAGCTATTATAAGAATTTTGATCCAAAGGCGTTTGAATCTGAGGTTGCACTGGAGTAGTATGGTAGTTTTGAGAAGTAGGAGCCCCATGTCTCCAGTAACCATCTTTAGCACCGTTAACTACAGCACCAGACTGACCAAAAAACATATCAACAAAAAGAGGACAACAATATACTAATCAACCATATTACTCTTTTTAGTACCAAGGAAAAAGAAGAATTGATTACAAAAATTTCCCTGAATTACAAACCGTGTAACACTTTGCCCCCCCAATCTTCAAAATGTAACACCCATTCCCCCATTGTTAACAAAAATGCTCCTTCTGTTAGTGTTTCCGACGGAATCGCCACATGTCACACAAATATTGATTATTGCTAAGTAATTTGGTGCACAATTACTCTTCTACCCACGATTCATAAATTTATATTTTTTGGAAATAAATTTTAATTTAATATAATATGATAATAAATAACTCCGCCTATGCATTTGTATAGCCGGTTCCAAGCCCGGGTAAAGGAAGAGGGTTGCGGTAGGTTGACGGTCAACATAAAAATAAGTCACTCTCATGGATTTCACTTACATAGAATCTGTTGAGGCGTTCCCTACGTACGACGCGCTATGTCAGGTCCCGGGTATAGTGTTAAATAGGCAAGGGGGTCTTCGCACATTCATGGACGTGTCCGGGGGGAAAAAGCGAGCCCATGTGCCATGTCGGGACCCTGGATATGGTGAAAAATATGCAAGAGGGGGTCCTTGCACATTCATGGACGTGTGCAAGGGGCAGAGCTAGCCCATGATAGGAAAATTAGTTTAGGTAGTTGGAATGTAGGTTCTTTAACTGGTAGATCTATGGAGTTAATAGATGTTATGGTAAGAAGAAGAATTAACATTTTATGCTTACAGGAAACGAAGTGGACAGGAGAGAAAGCAAAGGAGATTGAAAATTTAGGACACGAGTTATAGTATACAGGGTTGGGAAAAGAATCGCAATAGAGTTGGTATTCCAGTGGATAAAACTGTGAAGGATGACGTAGTTGAGATTAAGCGAATAGGGGATAGAATTATTATGCTCAAATTGGTACTAGGAAATAAGTTCATCTATGTAATTAGTGCTTACGCTCTACAAATAGGATTGGATGCGGAAACTAAAGTCAAGTTCTGAGAAGACATAGATGACTTAGTGTGTCGTATAGGCTATGAGGATAGCATTTTCATTGGAAGAGATTTCAATGGCCATGTTGGTAAGGATAGGGAAAACTTCGAAAGGATCCACAGTGGTTTTGATTTTGGTGCTTAAAACGAAGAAGGAAAATCTATTTTGAAATTTGCATTAGGACATGATTTTATCATAACAAACACATTTTTTAAGAAAATAAATTTTCACTTGATCACTTTTAAAAATGGGAGGAACTTGAGCCAGATAAATTATTTGCTCATAAGGTATGGAGAACGTTCTCTATGTAAGAAATGTAAAGTAATTCCTAAATAAGTACTAGCCACCCAACATAGGTTAGTGATCTTAGATGTGAGCATTAAGCTTTGCTATAGAATGACTAAGATAAACCACCTCCCACGAACTCGTTGGTGGCATTTGAAGGGAATAAAGCAATTGACCTTTAAAGAGAAGTTGTTAGATGAGGCTACTTGGTCATATATAGGTGATGCAAATACTATGTGGGATGCCATGGCCAGCTGCATTAGAAAAGTGGCAAAAGAAGTACTAGGAGAATCTAGAGGTAAAGGCCCCCAGGGAAAGAAACCTGATGGTAGAGTGAGGAAGTTCAAAAGGCTATTAGGACCAAGAGGGAATTATATAGAGATTTACCAAAGTGTAAGGATGTTGAAACTTTTAATAAATACAAAGAAGCGAATAAAGAAGCTAAGCGAGCAGTTGGTAAGATTCGTTCTACTTACTTAGATGAGGTATATAGGAAACTTTGGACTAAACAATGAGAGAAGGATATATATAAACTAGCTAGGATAAGAGAAATGAAGTGTCGGGACCTAAATCAAGTGAAGTGTGTTAAGGATGATACGGATCAAGTTCTGACAAAAGATAAAGACATTAGGAAAAGGTTAAGGAGTTACTTTGAGAAGCTTTATAATGACGATCATGCAATAGAGTTTGACGATCTTAGGTCACAAGGAAAACTTAATGTGATGTATACAAGAGGAATCAGAGTCCTGGAAGTTTAAACTGCACTGCGAAAAATGAAAAAAGGGAAGGCATCTGGGCCAAATGATATTCCAATAGAGGTTTAGATGGCGTTAGGAGATGTTGAAATTGTGTGGCTCACTAAGCTTTTTAATTAGATACTAAAGAGAAGCATATGCTTGATGCATAGAGGAAAAGTATTCTTATCCCCATCTTCAAGAATAAAGGAGATGTGCTGAATTGTAACAATTATAGGAGCATAAAATTAATAAGCCACACTATGAAACTTTGGGAGAGAGTTATTGAAAGGAGATTAAGGGCCACAACTACCATCTCAGGTAACCAATTTGGTTTCATGCCAGGCAGATCAACCACGAAAGCTATTTTTCTTCTTAGAATACTGATGTAAAGGTACAGAGAAGCCAAGACCTACATGTGGTCTTTGTACATTTAGAAAGGCATATGATAGGGTGCCGAGGGAAGTTTTATGGTGGGTGCTAGAAAAGAGAGTACATGTGAGGTATATCAAGGTAATTAAGGACATGTACGATAGGGTGGTCACGAGTGTGAGAACCGCTGGAGGCTACACGGCAGAGTTCCCCATTCGGATCGGCCTTCATCAAGGATCTACTCTTAGTTCTTATCTTTTCACCATCGTGGTGGATGAGCTAACAAGAGAAATTCAAAATAGAGTTCCTTGGTGTATATGCTTTTTGTGGACGATATAGTTTTAGTTGATGAACATAGGAAAAGAGTTAACCGTAAGTTAGAACTGTGGAGACAGACTCTCAAGACGAAGGGATTTAAGTTAAGTATGATGAAAACTGAATTCATGCATTGTATGTTTAGTAACTCAAGTAATCACAGTGATGAAATTTTTTTAGATGGTTTGGAGATTAAGGCTTCTAGGAAGTTTAAGTACCTTGGGTCTATAGAGCAGTAAGAAGGAGATATAGAAAAAGATATTCAACATAGAATTAAGGCAGGGTGGGTTAAGTGGAAGAATGCTACGGGAGTTTTATATGATGGCAAGATGCCTATTGAGTTGAAAGGAAAGTTCTATAGGACTAATCCGTCCAGCTATGTTATATGGTAGTGAATGTTGGGCCATTAAGAGACAACATATATCTAAGATGAGTGTGGCAGAAATGTGCATATTAAGATGAATGAGTGGCCATACGAGAATGGATCGCATAAGGAATGAAGTTATTTGTAGTAAAGTAGGTGTAGCACCAATAGAAGATAAGGCGCACGAAGGCCGCTTGAGGTGGTACGGGCATGTCCAACGTAAACTGTTAGAACCACCAGTTCGTGCTTGGGAGGACACTCTTATACCTAACACTAGAAGAGGGAGGGGTAGATCAAGAATTACGTGGACCGAAGGTTAGGAAAGACATTTTAGATCTACGCCTTTAAGAAAGTTTAATTTCGAACATAACTGCGTGGAAAAGTGAAATCCATATAATCGACCCCAATTAAATTAGGATTAAGGCCTGTTGTTGTTGTTGATAATATGATAATAAATAAAATAAAACAACAAAAAAAAATTAATTTTACTCTTCTAATTAATTGATTAAAATAAAATTACTTAGAAAGTTCTAATTTATAATTTGTACTATTTTTTTCAAGAACATGTAGGATTAACAAAATACCCCAAATTATGCAATATGAGCCACTTTTCTGTTAAAAAACAAACAAGAGCGTTTTTGTTGATGATTTATAGTTCCGGAGGGACGGGTGTTACTTTTTAAAAATTGGGAAGCAAAGTGTTACCTAGTTCAGGGGGAATTAATGTAATTAATCCAAAAAAAGAAAGCTTATTCAGCCATGAAATCATTCCAAAAAGCGTTCCATCACACGTTCCTCCTTTTTTCGTTAGGTATAAAATCACCAAAGACAGAATTATAAGTAAAACAAGCTGCTAAAGGCATTTAGATCTGCAATATCTAACAAAATCCAGGTATGAAACAAAGAAAGATAGTTAACAAACAAAAGTTTCACGTTACTCTATAAGAAACATGTCAAGTTCAGTGTTTAAAATTGCGCAATGCGAGGCGCGCCTGCGGCGCTCGCAAAATGCTTTATGGCGTACACCTCACTGAATAAGAAAGAGGCGTACGCCTCTCTCTACTGAGGCGGCCTTGAGGATAAGCCTCGAGGCGTAAAAGTTTGAGGCGGTGCCTCATTTCTTACACTGTTTGGAGCTGAACCCAATTTAAAGGCCCAAACCCGTAACAGCCTAAAGTAGCCCGATTATATATATACAAATAAAAAATAATAATAATAAAAACCAAGAGAATTCTTAACAAAGTAACGTTGCTCTTGACCAAGAGCAAGAGAGACTTAAAAGGAACTCCTAGTCTGCTAAAAATAAGAGGAAGACAAAAAAAAAATCAAAAATAATTATTTCAGATTAAATATTTTTTGTTGAGTGTTAATATGATTCTTCATGATGTTAACTATGATTTATAACTTTTACTTTAAAATGTTTGATTTTTCATATTTTTGAATTATTTTATGGTTATTTTGAGGCTTACGCCTCAAAACGCCTTGAGGCTTATGCTTCGCCTCACAAAGGCAAAATGCCTTAATACCTAATTGCACAATTTAAAACCTAGTTATTGTAGCGAGGACAAAACATTCAAACCTGCACTGAAGGAAACTCATTCGAACTGGACTCGGACCTCCAAGATGGGGCATACGGGGGTGGTGGCAGGTTGTTCGAAGTTGGGTAGCCAGAGGGGACACTAGGAACTGAAGATGCAAAATTTGATGTTCCGGTAACAGATGCATTCTCCGTCCCAGGAGCACAGGTGACTTCTGTCTGATTGTAATAATCTGTCCATTGCTTATATTGCTGCTGATAGTTTAGTGGAGTGGTAGTTGTAGTTGCAGGTGTGGTTGCTGTTACAGCACCAGAACTATAAACAGTAGTGGCACTTGAAGTGTAATGTGCATATTGCTGAGAATTAGTGTAATTTGCATAATTGGCGTCATTCCACTGGGCAGTCTGATTATTGTAACTGCTACTTGAAGTCGTCTGATTATTGTAACTGCTACTTGGGGTAGTCTGATTATTGTAACTGCTGCTTGGGTAACCTCCCGCTGTCTGATAATCACCAGGATTGTAATAAGTGCTTGAATAATTTGCAGACCCAGCATACCCAGTACTCTGAAAAGAGGAAAGAGGCTGATAAGGAGCACCTGTGTTTTGATATGCTCCTACGGGTTGCGAGTAGGAAGGATTAGATTGCTGCTGGTAGCCGTTATAGTAACCTGAGTATCCTGTGCTTCCATAACCATATGGATCAGAAGGATTGTATGATGCATATCCATTATGGTCTTGTGGTGCATTTACTGTTCCCAAACTTGACGAACTACTCACAGGTGGTTGCACGTGCTGGTGGTCATAATGGTAAGTTAAGTTAGAAGGAATTCCGTTCTCCGTGAATCGATTATCAACCTTAGGAGCCGTCCATGATAAGGCTTCGGAGCCAGCTGTTGAAGGAAGATATGAAGATGTTTGTCCTTGGCTTGCATTAACAACGTGCCAGTTCTACAAAAAAACAAACTTTTTTAATGAACACAAGCATTTTCAAAAACTTATTAAAGTATGTACCCCAGTAAATGTCTTCATAAAGGCTGTATACAAATTTCATTATGCAAGGGAAATAAAAGCTTAGCAACTAAGAACTAAGCGACCAGAAGCAGGAAACATAGACCATTTAACTGGGCAATGGGCGTAGTTGCAGGCACAGCCTAGCGGCAAATCCTCCCACCCCCAAATTCCAAAAAACAAAAAAAAAATCTGGGCAGTGGGAATTCCTTGTCTAAGAAAACAGCGAGCATATGAACCAAAAGAATTACTTGCCACCGTGCTTAAAGTTCAAAAAACACATATTTAAATGCCTTTTCAACTTCCCAATTAGTTTAGCGCGATTGCACATGTTGGTATAACTTACTACCATATTCATGTCCTAAAACCCGTCGTCTTCTAAATTATCATACCCCAAAAAAGCAAATTTCCAAGCCATTTCAAGGGAATCAATTTCATATTGTGGCAAAACAATGAAGAAGGGAAAAAAAAAAGTGAAAGCCATACAATAAAACCCAATATTTTTTTTTTCCTATCAAGAAAAAAACCTTAAAAAAGAAGAAGCAAAAGAAATGGGAAACTACCTCCAGCGAACTGGAATTCACTGCCGACATGGTCTCGGTACTACCTCCTTGATTCATGATCATTGCATTAGCATCCTGGAACCCATATCAACAAAATTCAATAATCCAAAAAAAGTAATTAATTTAATAAGTCGATCATAAATTTACTTATAAGCAAACAAAAACCCTAATTAGGTCTCAACAACAACAAACCCAATCGATCCTCACCTTCAAAGGAGAACCAGAATAAAAAAGCTCCACGATAAGCAAGCAATCTTCTCGGCGTCGATTCGCGGGATCGCAACGGGGTTTATCGAAAACCCAGAAAAAGAAATTGAGATCAACAAGAACCCAGAAAAAAACTAGAGAAATTACAGAGCAAAAAAGACAATAGAAACAAGTAACGGTAACAAATTAACAAACAACAAAGAAAGCAGAAACTTGGAAGAAAAACAAATGATTTTGGGGATTTGGTGATTGGGCGAGAACAGATGCAACGATTCGCATAAAATTTCTGATACAGAGAGAGAAAAAAAAGGCGAGAGAAAGAGAAAGTGTCTGTGTGAGAGAGAGAGAGAGAGAGAGAGAGAGATGAGGGTTGAACGGGGGCCTAGGTCGGGTCGTGCTTGGGAGGGTGGGACCTCTGAACCGCAGGTTCGAAGATTTTTCGACTTTTTATTCTTAATTAATAATTATTTTAATTAAATAACTACAATAATAAAAAGGATTAATCAAGAATGTAGAATTAAAATTTATGTTCTGTTTATTCAGAGAGTTTTAACATAGTTTATGACTATAATTTTTAATTTGTTATAGTATTTTTTTTATAAAAAATTTAAATTTTAAAAATTAAAATCATAAATTATAATTTTAAATTCATGAACTAAATATCACTTTAAACTCACATTTTAAAAATAAAGTTTGTATTTTTTTTTAAAAAAAGAAAATAAATAATCCGTTTTAGGGCAATTTTTTAATAAACTAAATTTTAAAAAAATTATTATTAGTTGTTTTGCTAGTTTTTTATCAAAATAAAATAAAATTTTGAACTTAATTCTCCGTTTATCAATTTATTTTAATTTTAATTTTTTTCCAATAGTAAAAAAATAATAAAATATGTATGTGAGGTTAAAAATATATTTTATTAATAGCACACAAAATACACACGTACTTTTAACGTGAAAATATTAAATCACGTACTAATTAGATATACTCATATATATTAAATCACGTACTAATTAGATATACTCATATTTTGTTCCGTTTTTAAATTGGTAAAAATGTCTAAAATTAAAACAAAATGATAAATGTTGGATCAAGTTTAAGACGTTTTAAAAGTTATAGATTAATAATAAAATTTATAGACTATTTATGTGATTAACACAATAATAATAATCTTTACTATATTCTTAAGGGAGAATAATTTTCTACTTTGGTACTATTAAAATGTTTCGCAAATTAGATGTAAGTATGAAGCGTTTCGCAATTAAGTGAATTTTTTTAAAATATTTTTTGGGCTTTTTTTCTTTGTTTTTTTACTTTAGATCTTTTTTTTCTCTCACTATTTTAACAATTTGTATAAAGATTAATTTAAATGAGTCACATTATTAGAATATAATCAACATAAGCACATTATTAGAAATATAATAAACATTATTTTAAATGAGTCACATTACAATAAAGATTATTGTAAATAAACACACTATTAGATAGAAAATATAATCACCATTAAATTCCTCATTTTCTCTTTCCTTTTAAAGCGAAGTAATGGTTATATTTGGAATTGATCACGTTTTTATTTTTCACGTTTTTTGAGAAAGAAAAAATGAAAACGTTTCCAAAACAGCGTTTGGCGCAATAAGGAAAAAAAAAATGGAAATGAAAACGATTTTTTGGTTTAGTACAAAATAAGAGAGAAATGAAAAATGACTTTTAGTCGTTTTTCATTTTTTGTTTTCGTTTTCTTCCAGAGAGAGAGAGAGAGAGATTAATGGGTTTTTTTACACTGAAAATAATCACTTGATAAAACTATCAAACGCATTTTTAAAAATGATTTTTGTCTGCTATTAAAAATATTTTTATTTTCATTTTCATATAAAAAATAAAATCATTTTAGAACGAGTTCCAAACACACTCAATATAATAAACATATATATATATATATATATTGCTTTGAATCTATACCATATTTTGAAGGGCTCGTGTGCAATATCAATGTTTTTGAATATGGAAACCATCAAAAGTTAAAAAGTTAGGAGTCTAAACTCGGTCAGACCCTTATTTGATACATGTATTTAAACTCAAACCATAATTCTTTTAAAGTGTTTTTCCCCTTACAAATAACTTAAATAAAAATATTCTCGCAAATAATTCTCTCACAAAAGTTTAAATCAAAAACTCAAATCATAGTTCAAAATACACTCCCTAAATAGGCCCTTAATCACTTTTGTTCAACTGAAAAGAGAAAATGAGAGTTTTTCGGATGAGATGCTTTCAGCGGTTGATTTCTTTAGGTGAATTATTCCTTGCTCGTTCTATTAAAAAAAATTGAGCTTTTTTTTAGAAACTGTTAATTTCTGAAAGAAAATTGACATGTATCTTGTACATGAGTTAATTAACGGGTGAGTGGTATTCTTCTTTATAAATCTTGGCCCAAATTTATTTTTTAATACGATTTTGATTCAACATTTTCTATTTTGATAACATTGAATTAAGGCCCTAACTTCAATAAATTTGTGTTAAAAGAGATAAAAACGATGGATTATCAAAGTTTTGGTTTGATGTATTCCTCTTAAAATAAAAATTTCAAAAAGACCATACGGTCAAAAATAAATTTAACCTTTTTTTATGTGGTTGGTGGTTTTATTGGGAATGGTGTCCTAGAAACATAAGATGTAATAAGATATTTATTATTTATTTAATAAAATAATTTATTCATCATTTTATGTGTATATGTTTGTGAATAATTTATGAATATCAATGAAAATTTCATGATTATTTATGTAACCTTAAACATTGTATATAAGTGTTATATATGAGAGGATAATGTTTAAGGATAATAATCAAAAAGTAATGTTCATAATGAATTTAATTAAAGTTCAGAATCTTTAATTAAAACATTATTAATACATGTCATTCCCATTTAGAATGGAACAGTGTTATCCGCACTGTTAATATGGTGAGATATTGAATGAGTGTATTTCGCATAATGAGATTATGTGGAACAAGGACACAAACACAATATGAATTTCTAATAATTCCGTTAAGTATAGAAATTCTAATTGAGTCTATCGATGGTCATATATAGAATGATCTTAATCCTAAGTTCTTAACAGACTCATATTTATGGATTCGTATCTTTTGATTTACTCAGTACGAATTCTGAGATCCTGAATCCTATTCCTTGTATTTTGGAGACATGATGAAGTAGGTAGCCGGAAATATTATTACACGAGATGGAATCCATTCATTCTTAAGAAAGAAGTAGATAAATAATTCTCTTGAGGGTTGATTCGGTACTTGGACCAGTAGGAGCTCCGATTCATGAATGTGTTTTATGAATCACTGTCCATTAGAGAATCAATGGTACTCAAGGATAAATAAGTAATTAGAAAGGTTAACGGATTTTACCTTGCTCTAATTATGAATTATTTATGGAGAATTGATCTATATGCAATGACTATATCAAATGGACACTTCACAGTTTAGAAGTAATTAATATCTATAATTTCGAGAGTGCAATTCCAAGTTTATAGTGGAGTACCTATTAGAATTAATAGAATTAATTAATTAATTAAAGTGTTTAATTAATTATTAATTTTATTGGAGCTCGGGATTATAGGTCCATATGTCCCCGCGTCGTCCTTGTAATTCTACCAGACACAAAGGGCAAAATGGGAATTTTGGAATTACGGAATTCTAAAATTAAATACTCGAAAATTATTGATTGAGAATTAATTATTATTTAAATAATGTGATTATTTAAATTTGAATTTGAACACATCTAGATTTATCCATTTAAACTTATTTGATAAGTTGTTCAATTTAGAATTCAAATTAATTTAAGTTTGACTTAAATTCGAATTTGAATTTGAAATAAAATTAGATTACAGGATAAAAGATGATTTTCTCTTCCTTCCCTATCCAGTATTAGCGCCACACACAGGGATAGGAATCCCTAGCATGGCCGGCCACAAGGGATAAGGGATAGAGGAGATTTTGTTCAAAATTCAAATATGAGATAATTGACCAGCTTTATCTTGGAGATAGAGATTGGATTCCTTCTAGAAGTTTGACTTCTACTCTATAAATATGAGAATGATAGAAAATTGTGAAGATAATTTTTGAAACAATTTTTCAGCCCTAATTGTCAAGGCTGGCCGAAATTCTCTTTGTAGAGAGGAAGGAAAAAATTTTTCTCCAAAAATTCCACATCGTGCATGCGTTGGTGTTTGTGAAAATTCGAGTGTTTATTATAACCCATTTTGTCTCATGTGTGCCCACACACACGTCTTCGTGGATTTTAAGAATTGACGTGAAAGACATTGATTTTCTAAACACAAAACTTTGGAGCAAGGATTGTTCGAGGTCAAAGAACTCAAGTTATCAACCGAGTCGGCCTCTAGGTATTTTTCTTAATTGAATTCTTAATAAATAAATTAATGAGATTAATTTATTCGTGCATAAATTAATATAATCTATAGAGTATCTCAAAAATTTTGTGAAAATTTTTATTATACACAATCCGCCTTCTCACACCACGTTTTCGTATCCAAATTGGATTAGGAGACCAACAGATTTTCCCTTTCATAACCGAAAATAAACATCCCTACCCCTAATAATAATCAACCACTGGCTCCAACCTTGGAGGTGGCCCCACAATCGGTCTCAAGGACCACGAATTTCCCATTTCTCACTCAAGCAAAAAAAAGCTTTCAATAATCAAACCTACATCAAATTCTCTCTCTCTCTCTCTCAGTCTTAAGAAGCGATAGCTACGTTTTTTCTCCCTTTCCGTTGAACGAAATTAATCAACTTTAATTTTCAAACTCTCTCAACCAATTAGAATATCTTTGTTAGAATAGTTGAAAGAGGACACAAGTTGGACCGATTCAAAAGTAAGGACGTCAACTAGAGTCTAAAAATATCTATAGCCTCACACTTCTCAAATTGCGCTAATTACTAGCAGCTAATGCCAAAAAAAATGCAAGCCTGGGAAATTGCAAACCCTAATCACCAAAGTCACAAGTCTCAAACCTTATTTTAACCAGTCTTCAGAATTTTCTATACTTGTGACCCAAAAATGGTTAAAACCGGTTCCATAACTTCTCACTTTCCAGCCTTAACTAGTTGTGAATATCACCTGAGATTATAAAAAGGAATTCTCGGATAACCAAGTGGTAATAATGGTCACAGGCCAGAAGAATACAAGACAACGCCTATTTGTCGAATAAAGAAATTCCCAAGCTAAGAATCCTTAGTCCTGCAACAGGCCATCTAGCAATATTGCTAAAAGCACCAAAATCAAGAACAAGAAGGAATGGGGCAAACCCTGGGTCTCTAACGTTTACGAGCTTGGATTCTTCGGCATTATTACAAGAACCGTAGCCTTGTAACTGTTTTCTAGTTCTGTTTTGATCTTATTGTTGTCAAAGCAACAAGTCAACTACAATAACATGAAGGTGATAGATAATGATTTAAAGGGAACAAGATTCACCTCCTAACCAGTTGCTGATTCAAGACAGAAATTACCTAGTATCACAAACATCAGGGCCAACCATCCTCGGCTTGCACAAACCAACGAAAAGAGCTTGTATCACAATTATTCATACCCGTACTTTTCAGCTTTAGCGAAAGGTAACCAAGCTAAAAGGAAAAGAAATCGAACCATTATCCATAACAATGCGAAAAAGTGATCATTCCCAATTGAGCAGCTAATTCCAAATCAGAGTATGCAATGGAACAACCACATTACAAGCGGCGGTATCAAAAGCAATTACCGGCCACTTTTTAAGATTATTGATCACATGAAGCATCTGTGAGTGAAGCTGAGACTACAAGCAACAAAAGATAACTACCTATAATAATTTCAACATCCTTTTGCTCACTAGTGATATAAAACTGTAGCCGAAGTTTCAAGATTCCGCTTAAGACGTCAGTTAAAAGTTCAATGTGCTGAACAGCTTCAGGAAGCACGGAAACTGCCCACATTTGTAAACAAAATCTCATGTTCCTTTTGTACAATGACTGGCATATCAACTGTCCATTCCAAAACTGTCTTCATATCCCAGAAGTATTCTCCAACGCAGGATCTTTATTTTAGACTCCATAATGGTTTGCTAGCAAATATTAAACAGTAACTGTTCAACCACTATAAAGCTAAACGCATCTAGATTAGGCCAACAAATTGAATCCAAGCCATGATAGCTGCAGAAGACGAAATGGGATTAACTTCTCCAAGTCCACGAGGCACCACCTCAAAGTATCTACAAGGCAGAAAAACTGTTTCAAGTAAATTAAATCAGAGCATGTAAAAGAACTTCATGAAACCGAAACCCCAGGGCAGGAACAATAACGACTAGCTTATCATCTTTGGTTATATTTGATGACAAAAATGGAGTAACAGGAAATTATGAACTTTATAACTGATTCCTTGTAGGATTCAGTGCTAACGGTTCCTTGGTGTATACCTGCAAATGTCCACCAAGCAGAAACCAACAGCAGAACATTCTTCAAGAAACTCAAGTAGAATCTCCACTGAGGAATTTACATAATTGACTCCACCAGTAATGTAGAGCGCCACAACCAAACTTTGTGATGGTACAAAACTTGCAGAATGAAAATTAAGTGCATCCAATATCCAGATTAGTACGAACAGGATTGGTCAATCAAACTTCATTAACATTAATGATTTAACAACTAAGATGCAAGAACCAGACTATTTACACTGCAGAACAATTAATGATTGGCCATAAAGCATCCATTCCCAGGACGTCATGCAACACAAACCCGAGTTGGCATCTGATTTCAGCAATGACTTGTACTCACCAAACAGCGATTGCTTTGTGTTTTTAGCAAGTAAAATTTACCAGAGCAGATGTACATAAACTAATTACGTCCACTAGTCCCATATTTCGATGTGTAAAATGGATCCTCAGGCTCACAGCTAAACACTTCAGAATCTTTTCCTTCTAACTCGTGAGATATCATCAAAATCATTATTGTGCCACACCTGACCACCATGCCTGTAATTTCCTTCCTGCTCCTCCATATTTCTTATTCTTCTGGGTGCAGTTCCTGGCCGATTCTTAATGCTTCTATGAAAATCTCTTTCAGTCAAATTTCCCCTTTCTGGGAACTCTGCGTCATCATCTGGGCAGAACCTCAAAGGCCTAGAACCCTCCTCTGGATTAACATGAGAATTCTCACCATCAGCACCATTAAAATTATTCCTATATGGACGGACAGGTCCACGTCTCTCACCAAACCTCCTTTCATCACCACTTACATCACCGCCAAGCTCCTGTAAACGACCAGGATGCATAGGACCCCCAAAAAAATTATCACCTTCTGACCTTTCTTGAGGATCCAAACCACCAAATCTTCTGTCCCTGAGAACAATTCGATCCGAAGGGTTCCTATTAGGCATAACTGACCCTGGGTGCCCATGGTCTCTTCCAGAATCCATATCTCTTAAATCTGGTCTCCTAACCACCTCTCCAGCAAAACAACGGCGATCAGGTGATCTCATCCTATTCACCCTATAAAATTGTGGAGATCTTCGATGAGTCAAATCTGGATGTCCAGCAAACCCTTCTGGGGATCGCCTCCTAGGGGAAGACCACGACCCGGGCGACCGAGTTCTCGAATTTAGGGGCGATTTTGAACGAATTCGTTGCCTAACTCTTCTCTGGACAGAAGGAAAATTCCTGTTACCCTGGGCAAAATGACCATCTACGCCCTCATATTGAGGTTGTGGACGTGGGAACATGGAATCTATAGTATCATCAGGAAAACCCCTTACAAACTTCTCATTGCGCTTTAACCTGCCCAACTCAGGACCATCTTCACCAACACATCTATTTGGGCTAATATTTCTTGAGATTCTTCGAACCATATGGATACCACGGGCCACACCAGGAGACCGCCTCCTTGAGGGAATTCGACGTACAAATGGTCCTCCATCATTTAAAGGCTTCCTCCCTCCTCGTCCAGAACCGACAAATGCAAGATCTTGGGAAACATTGTAAGTATTATATTCAAAGTCTGCATCAGAAACGGAAGAAGCAAATTTATGTCTAGGAACACGAAACTCTGTTGGACTGTTATAAAACTCTGAAGCAAATTCGCGATCAGAGTCTCGACCACCACGGAAGGTGTCTGATCGACTGTTAATCCTACCTCTGCCACGCTGAAAATTCATCCTAGAGTTCCTAGCTGTCTGATCATAGTGCCTCTCCCTAGAAAACTTTTGGGCACCATCAACGTAAAAGTCCTCTCTGGAAAAGTATTCAATTTAGAGAAATCAGAAAACAGAGTGAGCAACAAAAACTCAAAAATAACCAGGGGAAAAAAAGTAAAAGACAAGAAAATATTCACCTCCCTCGGGAATAAATTTTATCTCCCTCAAGTGCCATATAAGGCAATCTCTCTCTTCCCACCCTAGACCACTGCCTGTCACCGCCAGAAAATGTTCTTGTCCTGCCAGGGGAAGACAATCCAGAAGATCGGGGCAAGTTTATGATCCGGCTACGATGACTTCCGCTATCAATGTCCCTTGCTGCATTATCACCATCTGCAAATTTGACCATGGCTGTATCATTCCTTAGAAGCAGGTCATCTTTACTCATACTCAAAGTGGTCCCCAGTGAGATAGTCTGCAAAGTTTCTTCCCCTCCATTAGCGGCTTTTACAGAATCTGTATATTGGCTTTCCTGGACACCTCTCTGCCCCGACTGATCAAGAGGTCTTCTAAGCATAGCCTTGTTCATCTCATTTATAAAAGCTCCACCAAGTGCATTTTCAATAGTGGATGACTCTTGCAAACACACAGTTTTATCAGATTCGTTCTCACATTTATCAGTATGAACTGCATCAAAAGCTTCTTCACCACCCTTCTTATCTATTTCAGCAGCATCAATTTTAGCGTCTTTTACCTCAACATGGGAAGAATTAGGGTCAGTGTTGTTGTTAAGTCCCGCACTGAGCATCTCTCCGTTATTAACACCACTGTTATCAGTATGTTCCACTTGTCCTTTCTCACAGGCAGATTCCTTGACTACCGTGCGTTCAAGTTTTTCTCTGACCTCACCATCTTCATAGTCGTCTTCACTATCAATTTCCATATCAATAGACATATCAATAGCATGATTACCATCTGATTCGTAATCCGAACTATAAGAGACTTCGATATCGGCTGAAATATTAACCTTCTCCTCATCACTTACAGCACTCTCACCATTTCCGCGTGAATGAAGAGGTAGATCATTCATACATTTTGATTTACATACCCCTGCATCATCGGTATTACTATTTTCAGCTCTTCCAGAGTCCACTTTACTACCAGCACTGGTTAATGTAGCACCCATATCTGGAGCAACCTGCCTACTACTTTCACAAGCTTCTTGTTGTACCTCAGAACGGCCCTCATTAGCACAACTAAACCGTCCTGAATTTAAAGGATCTCCATTTCCGGCCAACTCGGTGGATAAAGAAGAATTAATGCCGGGGCAAGCAATCTCTGCAGTTTTAAACGTAGATGCAGCAGAAGAATGATTGGACTCGGTCGAAGAAGAGTTCCCAACCAAGCAAGCAGTGTCTGCAGCTTTACATGTAACGGCAGCAGAAGAATTTTTGTACTCTGCTGAAAACGAACTCCCAATGGGACAAGTAATCTCTTCAGTTTTAGACATAGTCGTAGCAGAAGATTGTTGCAGACCTACCATCTTTTCATTCAATTGCACCGATGTTCCCTCTTTTGAATTCATTGTTTCCTTGTTACCCTCAGTAGCTGGTTCAGATTTTATGGTTCTTGGATCAAATTCTCGCTTCACTGCTGTACTGTTTAATATTGCCACATTAGAGGGTTTAGCTCCTCCTGTATCCAGCTTAGTACTCTCCTCCACTGGCTCAGATTTTACAGTCGTGACATTAACCTTATTCAAGTTGCTACTTGGTAAAACAACTCCAGATAAGCTAATATTAGGAATAACCTTGGGTGAATCCAACTTAAGGGTTGAAATGGAAGGTTCCTTATAAGTATAGCGAAGACAAGAACTAAGCCGTAAATGAAGAGAGTCGTCAAATTTGAATTGGTCGCTGGACAGCCTTGATGACATGCAGAGATTAGTTAAATTCTCACTCTCTGTATTGCTGCACTTTTCTGAAGCGACTGAAACTCCAGAAGATGGCTTTATAACTTTTGTCTGACCAGCTGCATCCATCCCGTCAACTAATGTTTGACCAACAGCTACATCACTCGAACCTTCCCATGCATCCATAGGCGTATTTAGATCCCAGTTTGCCCGATCTGCACGAAGAGTAGAATTCCCGTCATTTAATTTATCAACAGCATCACTTTTGCACCGGCTGCTGCTGCTGCTGCTTTCTTTACTCGAGGACAAATTCAGCGAAATAGGTTCTAAGGTCTCCTGATTCTGGTCAATCCTGTTATGGCTTGACAAAACTGGAACAAAAGGCTCTTTCAAACTTAACAATGACTCAGTGTTCTCTCGTAAAGCGGACGCTTCTGCTTCTGCATCAACCTTCACATGAGCACTTTGCTTAACCATATTCATCCCTAAAAGTCCAAGAGATTCAGTCGGTGAAAAATTCAACTCATTTTTCCCTGTCATCTGATTAACAGGAATTTTAGACACCACGAGTTTCTCTTTTCCATTCACATTTTCCAAATAACTTGGGTGAACTGTGAGGCTAGGTTCCTCCACTTTGACTTTAGTAAAATTGTTATTTCCTCTGACCACATCATCATTTGCAACACAAGAGCTTTCTTTTCTTTCTTCGGGTTCAGGATTCTTAACCGCGTCAGATAAACTTGAAGAACTTGTCCCAACACTAGAATATGAAAGAGTTGAACCCTGAGACGGGCTGGACTGGCCCTTTTGTAGTGAATTACTTTCTACTGGAGATGGTTCTTCAGCTGGAGGTGATGGAGGCCTGATTAAGGGAAAGCGTCTTTTCTTAATAGGAATACCTGCAGGATAGTTACTAGAGAGCCGTACAATGGGTTTAACCTCCATCTGCCAATAGAAGATTAATTAATCAATGTTTCTCGGAAAAAACAAGAGATACTGCAACAGTTTAAGCAGTAAGTTGGGAAACAAAAATAACACCTCTTCGTTTCCTGATCCCGGCATGGCTCGAAGATAGACACTTAACTCTTTGTATTATAAAAACTAAATACCAATTAGCAAGTCCTTGAGCACATCCCGATGCAGCTTTCAGATCCTGCACTAAACTAACACAGATCAAGTCCTCTTCATTTCTTAAACAAATACAACTAAATAAACACAATTTGGCAAATTATCCTATCTTCTGGCTATCAAAGTCAACACGTGACGGGAGCATATTCTGTACAACCTAACGCAACTACACCAATCAAAAATAGAAGCAACAGAAGAAAAACTCGCAAAACAGTTGACCAAAATGTTAAGAACGAGATCCAGAATTCCCCCCCACCGCCACCACAACAACAACAAAAGAAAAAAAAAAGAAAAGAAAAGAAAAACCTAGGCGTACCACGAAACAACTTGCAAAAACAAGATCCAGAATAACAAAAATAAAATAAAATAAAATAATCATGAAAACGATGCAGAATTACAAAAGAAAATAAAAGTTTAAGAAATGGTTGTACCGGAAATCAACTTCAAAAGTATATATCACTACATAACGCATAAAAATTATAACAATTAATTCAGACACAAGATAAGAATCTACTAAATTCGATGTAAACGCTTTACCAAACCCAAAAAGAAAAAAAAAATTGTCTTGCAGATAGAGCCAGGTTTTTCTCCAAAAACTCTGAGAAAAATATATAAAGAACCAGATCGCGATAAGACGATTCAGATCCACAAACTTAAACGAAGAAAACACAAAAACTAAAGAAAAACTCGGAAATTTCCCGGAATTTGCAGGAAATACCTGAAACCAACACGCAAACCACCAGTATTTCGAGAAAATCAAACGAAAAAGCGACAAAATTACCTGATGTTAGAGAGAGAAACAGAGCACGAAGAAACTCCCGAATCAAGCTCGGAAACTTCCAAGGAAATGAAGAAGAAACTCTCTAATGGCGGTAGGGTTTTCAATCTGTTTGCGATTTTTCTCGTCCGAAAGGTGCAGACGCGGTTTCTCTCTCTAAGTGCACTACATCTATTTATAATAAGAAAATAAATAAATTATAATAATCTCTATAATAATCTCTATAATTCACGCGCGCGCGTGGTGGGGGAAAAAATGGCCCGATTATTGAAGTGAATTGTGACACGTCTCCCGTTATCTTTTATCTTCGGGAATCTCGATGTGACGTGTCCGCAATTTCGCACCAATTCCATTTATTTGTTTTTATTTTTCTTTTTATTTTATTTTTTGGTGTATATTGCTTGCTTTGATGATAAGTAGGACCAAAGGGATGGCTTTTCCACAGAGGAAAAGGACAGTAACAGAGATGCCATTTTTCAACTCGAAGAAAGAAACAATAGAACTTGTTTAGGCTAGTTCATTTTACCAATTTAAAGTTAGAATTTAAATTTTATTATAATAAAAAATTTTTAAAAATAATTATATTTTATTTTTTTATTACAGTAAAAAAATTTTATATAAAATCACATCTCAACTCGAATTAAAAATTCAAAACAGCGAACTAAACAGATTCTTAATTCGTTGATTTAAATTTTTAATTTAAATTGAGATATAATTTTATATGAAAATTTTTTATTATAGTAAAAAAAATAAATATAATTATTTTTATGAATTTTTTATTGTAAAAAATTTAAAATTTAAATTCAAATTAATAAAATAAATTAGACTTAAAAGAGCATTTATTACCTAAGAAATTAATAAAAAGTAATATGATTCTTAAAAATATATATTATCATATTTAATTACACATAAAAATTTAAGATGAAATTCTTAAGAATATCATTTTATTGTACTTAACTAAGCACAATATTGTAATGTTATTTGTTTTATAATAAACAATTTTAAATATTTTAAGAATAATTTATTAAATACGTGAAATTTATTGAACATTATTATAGTTTTGATATTTTAGTTTTTCTTTTCTAAATCTAAATATAATTAAAAATATTTAAAAAATAAAAAAATGTAAAAATAATAATAATAATAATAACCAATTTTACAAGCTTGTACTTAGGCTGGCAAGCGGCGTAGGTGGGCTGTAATTTTGGGTTTTAAGTGAGATATAAATATGAGATTCTTACGTATTTGAATAACACTAGATTATTTAAATTTAGAATAAAGTGAATCTCGTAATATTTACTTTTTTAATGATATAAAAATTACAATTCTTATATGAAACGTAGGAATGTGAGATGATTCTCGTTTCTATTCAAAGAATATTGCATACCAAATGCCCCTAATAGGTTTCTTACTGGCCTGTTTGACATTTCTTTGAGCATCTTCAACGTAATGTCTTAATTGATGTGTCAATTATAAATTTAATATTTGAGTGTAAATAATACTCTCTAATGCAATGTTAATTATTATGTCAAATTTTTTATATGTTATATTTTGTGGTAAATTTCTCACAAAAAATAGCGTATAGAAAATTTGACATTTAATTGTTATTAGTTGAAATATTTACTTTTTCACGTAATCATAAAATTTTTACATTTTCTAATTATTTTAAAAATAAAAGTTTACTTTTACAACTTTCAAAGCTTAATAATTATAGAAAAAAAATATATTTAGCAATTTAAATAGCATTATACATTTGAGCAAAAATGAAAATAACATACCATATCCCACTTTTTAATGGTAAATATACAAATAGTATTAGCATTTGCATTGGAGATTATCTTATATATTTAGATTAGTTGAACTCGTCTTGTAGAGTAATTCGTGTGTTAAGTTTTGATTACTCTATTATTTATTTATTTATTTAATAATAAAGAAACAATTAGTAACATTGTAACAAGAACACTCTAGGAAAAAAATTTAAAAAGCCTCGATTTCACCCATTCAAATTTTTAATTCCAGTTTTGCTACAGTTAAAAACTCTTACAAAAAGTCACATCTAATTTTTTCTACTACAATTAAATGTTCTCACATAAAATCACATCTCAACTCAAATTGAAAACTTGACTCAGCGAACTGAACGATAGAGAATCTTTCGCAAGACGAAAAAGAACCAAAAAAACTAAACTCCTGTTTGGGAGGTATATTCAAATTCACGATTCTTAATTCTAAAATTTGAAATTCAAATTTTATGTGAGAGATTTACACTGTAGCAGAATCAATGATTTGAGTTTGAGTATATGAAACAAACGACTCCCTAAGTCACGTAATGAAATAAATTATGGTAATAACAGCAAAATAAGGGGATATGCGCATTTTGAAATCACTAAACGAAAACAAATAAGAGAAAATGCATGTATTAAAAAATAATAGTTTCAATTATATAAGGCATTGAGGAAGAGAAATGCACGTCACAATAAATTTTTTCAAAATAAAGTTTTAGAAACGAGACACATTTAAAACCATAAAAAATTTGAATATAAAATCACAAAAAGGAATCAAATTAAAAAATGAAAATTTCTCTGGTGTTCCCTCGTTTTTGGGAACACATGTCTTTCCTCTTTTTTGGGAACACATGTCTTACATGCTTATCAGCAGTCAGATTTGTATTATTTTTTTATTCTGATTTGACTTTTAACTAAATTTAATACAGATATAATAGCTTATAAGCAAAGAACACTAAAGAAAGTTCCTTAAAAAAAGAGTTTTAGGATGAGAAGTAAAAAATATAAAAAAAAGGACCAAAATGAAAAAAAAAGTTTTAAAACAATAGGAACCAAAATAAAAAAATAAATTTTAAGGACAAAAGGCAAAAAAAAAGTTAAAACATGACCGAAATAAAAAAAATAAGTTTTAAGATAAAATTGTAAACAAATAAGATAAATAAAAGACTTGAAAAAAGGGGGGAAAAAGAGAGGACAAAAATGCACGTTTCAACCAAAATGTACGATTTTAGCGTTTAAGTGTAGAGCTACTATAAAACCATATAAAATCTATAAAATAAAAAAAATAAAAACAAAAACACAATGAAAAACAAAAGTTTTCAGGAAAGCCAAGAAAAAAGGTCAAAAATAATGAAAATGAAAAATATAAAATAGTCTTGAAGCTAAAAGATACAAATGAGAAAAATAAAGTTTTAGGGAAAAAAATGTAAAAAAGGGATTAAAATGAAAAAATAAAAAAATTTGAATAAAAAACTTTAAAAAGACGAAAGTGAAAAAAAAAATTTAAGAAAAAATGAATGAAAATAAAAAAATTAAATTCTCCGGATAAAAAACCAAAAAAATACTAAAAAAATAAAATAAAAAAATAAATAAGTTAAGACAAAAAAATAAAATAAAATACTCTCTAAAAAAGGGCAAAAAAGGCACCAAAACACACGTTTCGGTTGAAACGTGCGTCTTGGTGTATAAAACAAATTTTTTTAAGCTTTCTAGGCAAAAAGATGCAAATGAGAAAAATAATATATATTATTTATTTATAATACATATTGTTATATATATATACACGCACACAAAAACACACGCATATATATATATATTATAAAAATATTTATTTATACAAATTAAAATAAAATAAAATAACACAAAAATAAATAAAAATATAATAAAACTAAATACATTAAAATAAATCAAAATAAATTAAAATCATTTTCTAGAATTAAGCTGGTTTTTGCCCAAAATTAAAAGTAAAATAACTATATTTTGTAGAGTTATCATTTTTGTTTTCAATATAAAAGTAAAAATGGACTGTTTTGAGAATCATTTTAAGACCTTTTTTTTTTTAAATTGCATTTTATTGTTTTTTTAAAAGATTGTTTTTTGAGTAAAATAAAAATACGAAATCTTTTTTGGTTAAATTATAAAACTTTGTTTGAGTACGTGTAATTAATAATCTTAATTTAACATATTAAGTAATTAATAATTGATAATCACTTAGCAAATAGAAATTAGTATATTTAATTTAATAATAATGTATGTTTTATTATTAATTACTTATTTCAAATTTGATATAATTATTAATTAAGTAATTACTATTTATTTATTATTTATCCATTTTTTTACTAATTAATATATTATACGATTGATACATTAATTATTAACTATTTATTTAATAACTTATTATTAATTGTTTCATTATTATTATGTTTTACAATTAATTTTTAACAATTAAACTTTAACTAATACTATCATTTATTATCTATTAGTTGTGTTAATTAATAAATTAAAATCAAATAATAAGAAATTAGTTTTTAGTTAATAATTAAGTAATTACTGTGCATTTACTAATTATTAATTAATATATTATATAATTGGTAATTAATAATTAATTATTTAATATCACATTTTTTAATTTTAATATAGCATTGTAGATAAGTGCTATAAAATGAAAATGAAAAATAGAAAATAACTTATAATTATTTTTTAATTTTTTTCACAAAAATCACTCTTACTATTTATTTATTTTTATTTTCGTTTTCAAAACATTTGCTAAACAAACACGATTTGCAGACAGTTTTCATTTTTGTGTCTCAAAAGATGTGCAAAAATATTTTAAAAAATAACCAAAAACCAATTCTAAACACCCATTTTATTTTCTCTATATTAATTGAATGTCAATTATTTATTTTTGAGTTGAGTGATATAAATAATATTTTTTACCAACTTGAATGGTATTTCTGATTTTTCCTTATAACTTCAATGTTTGAAGTGCGTAAATTATAATGTAAAATACATAAATTATTATTATTTTTGTTAAGATGTCGGGAATTCTTTTCCTGACACTATAAGGGTGCGTTTAGTATATGGATCCAGAATCATAGTTCAGAATCAATGTTTATTTACAGTGATTCTAAACCATGATTCAGAATCAGTGTTTGGTTTGGATGATTCAAAATCTGATATGATGTTTTAAACTAGCTCAAATCGTGATTCTAAAACCACCTCGCTCTTGATTCAAGGTGATTCAAACATCTGATTTTGAATCATGGTTTCAGAATCATGATTTGAACTCAAAATCATGAATCACGATTTGAACTCAAAATCATGAATCACGATTCTGATTATAAAGTGTTGA